AAATACATTACCCTCATTTCATCATTTATTAAAACACCACTCAGCATGATCTCAAACTCCTTTACAAACTGTGGATGGTCAGCAGGGTTTCCGTCGAAACACCGTGGTTCAAATTTAGGGAGTTTGATGTTCCTATTATCCCTGAACGGCGAAACAGCAACATCATCCGTGTCATCAGACACATTGTTACAAGTAACAGACAAGTCACCATGACTTACTTTCCTATTTGCATCCAAGACGCTCTGTCCCTTCTTTAACCCCGGCATTGTTGAACTTGAGCCAATTTCAAAAATGTTCCAGATACTGCTTGTTCAAAGGAGACTTGGCCGGCACCAGGAAAGATGAACGGTGACTATCGAAACTGTCACTAACTATCATACCGTCAGAAAATGTCAGCTACGTCTCGTAAACCGTCAATGCCCAGCTCTTGCTACGCTGGGATTCACGCTGTTCCTCGAAGCTTCTCAGAATCGCTTAGTACGAACGGACGTAAATTCCGGAACCCAGTTTGCCGATTCGAGGATTGTTCATTGTAACACCAACATATAAATACTGTTATAACTAAGGTCTGTGAACAAATATTACAATGATGAATCACAGTATTACTTCTGACAGTTTTCTCCTGACATCTTTCTGAACAGCGACCGATGAGACGATGACTGTCGTATTGATGCCTCCGCACAAATTGGGGAAGTTGGTTTTGGGCAAACAACTATGAATTGATCGTACAATCTTCAACTATATTGACACACTGTCTTTTAATTTTAACCTGTATAGTGGCCTAAAATCTATCGGATATCTTCGAAAGTTTCCTGAGAATTCTGAGAGATTCGTGTTTAATGACTCCTGTATATCCCTATCGAAATTGCAAATGGAAACTTTGTCTATGGGTTAGAAATTTTGCGATGTTATTGTCAGTGTCAACGGGCTACATTTACATGTCCAGTTTGTGAATATACTCTGTCAAATTTATGATCCCAAACCATCGTCAGGCCGGGATTTGCAATGCTTCAAATCTACCATCACTGACTCTTGCAATCAATATCAAAATGCAAAGTCTTCTGACTAAACAGCGCAAAGAAGAACTTAAACTTTTGACGCATAACGACGATATACTATTAACATGCCCTGACAATGGTTCAAGTGTTGTTATCGTGGATCTTAAAGATTATATCGATAAAATGTCATGTCTGTTTTCAGACAGCAGTAAATTCTCGAAGCCAAACGAGAAAAACAAGACGGAATTATTTGAGAAACAACTTACCGACGCTTTAAGGAGAATGAATGAATAACAATCATCCCACTTGTGAAGAATTTACACGAAAAGATCAGACCAACAGGATCTCTAATACCAAGACTTTATGGTCTACCGAAAATACACGAAGCTGGTCTTCCACTCAGCCCTATCTTGGATATGTCTGGATTACCCTATCATCCAGTAGCTGGGTGGTTAGCTGAAATTCTCGAACCTGTCACGGGACAACTATCTAATCAACTTACAATGGGAGTTTTTCATGAATCTTAAATATCACACATTGATTCCGTGTTAACATCTGGGTGGCGTTTCTTGCATAAATAATTGCCCAGAATCATACAATTTTGGTCCAGCTTCCCTTGGAGAGACAGAAGGATAGAAAATATCTAAGACAGACTGTGAAGCCTTGTGACTCTAACTGATATGATGTTGAGCAATAATTTACGCTAAAAACGTAGTCCACTCGTTAATACTGAATCACCGTGGGACATTTAAAGTACACTTATCTAATATGTTGTTACAGAGCCCAAGTTCTATTTTTATATTATTGATACAAATATTTACTTGAATTCGCGTGCCATTTTTGCAGGCATGATGAATTTTTTATGGAATGACATGAAGTTTTCGGATGAGAGTCTATGCAGGGAGGGTGGCGTTAGCTGATCAGTAGATATGGTGGGGGTCACTAAAGTGAATCGCCCCATTCTGCAGGAACAGCAATATACAAATTGAAGGCTCGAGGTATTTCTGACTTTTATGAGGGCTTAGATCTTTATCTTGAAAAAGATAATAATGAACGCCTTGACAGATCATGCTTCTACCTTTAAATATATACCATTCACTCAGCCTATTGTTGAGAAGCGACCACGCGGGATCTGCACAGATTTATGGGGCATCTTATAAACTAACTTGCTGCCCATTGTCGGATCTTTGAATACCACTTCACAATGTCTTATCTCATTCATTTTCTAATAACGTCTTTACTTGATCCTCATTATATTCCATTAAACCTAACATTTTATGACACTTTATGAATTTGATTCGACTTATTCTATTCCTATTCTCTGGAGGGTACGGTTGTGCACCAAATGCACAAAAAGGCATAAAATATAAAAAAACCGACATAAGGAAAAATGTATTAAAACCAAAAGTGGACATCATGATAGTGGAAACTGTACAGGAAGCATTATACATTGCAAATGAACGTTGTCAGCCTAGGGAGTTTTCTTTATTAATGCATTTATTAGTGATACTTGCACTTACCCATTTCATTACACTTTATTGATTCACCTTAGCACTTTAACTTTTCTAAAACAGCTTTCAATCCCTTGTAAACGTTGTACTTACCTGAATATTGGTTGGTTATCGTATGCCGACAACTACGGGATGAAAACGAAACGAAGTCGATTTTCCCGCTCAACCTGGAGGACAATTGTACAATTCAATAACTATACAGCCTAGTTCAAACAATGAGTGTATTTATATATATATATCAAATATTTAACTGTTGAAACATTATTAACTTGTGAACAATCTACGATTTGATATTATATCATACTTGATCGTGCCTGTAAAAATGGCATGCATTTTCATGTAAATTTATATGTTTATATGAGAATATACATTATTATTTTTCTGTAAAATGATAAATCACATTTTGAAGACATTTGTAGATGAAGGGCTTGCCAAGAAATTGCTACTATTCATGTTACACGAGATGAATAATAGAAACGTGGAAGCAGTTGCTATGGGTAACTTTCAAGGAAGTCTCGCACTTCAGTGACTTGAACCTATCTTTTTCGGTGGGCATTTCGGGTTTATGGGGATCAACAGCTAGTCCTTGGAAGAGCTAGTGGAACATTCTGGAGATCAAATGGCATACTCACAAACCCGTACAACCCTAATGAGGCGGTAGTAGCTGTTTCAGCTATGCCTTTCTCATCTACCAGGATTTTGGTCGAGTGAGGACTGAGTATATTTTATTATTAACTATGACACTGAGAAGACTACTAATAGAGCCCTAAATCTGGCTATCTCAATGTCTTTTTGGGTTGGTATACTTCCTGCTTCACTGCAAGGCCACTGATCGGTTTCATTTTTCCATGTGTAATGGTTAGGCCAACTAACTATTTCAGGGCCCGATAATCTCTGACTGAATCATGTAGTCAGACTCGTTTTCCACTATTTCTAGTTTGCTCAGGGCCAATCTTCTTGTTCAGCGAGCTCCGAGGGCCACATGTCCCTATGGTGCGCGCCGTTATATTTGGGAATTCCTCTAGTATTCACTCTATCCCTTTGGTTGATACCGGTGGAGATTGTAGTAAGTTGAATAAATGGTCATCACTCGCTTTTTTATTCATATACCTGGACGTTTCTTTAATTGTGAGTTATCTTTTCTAAGCGCCCACTGGTAGGTCATGCCTTCCTGGGATGTCTGTACCGAGGATTGCTAGGAGTAAGTAACAATGAAAGCACACAGAGGCTGTTGCTTAAAACCACTGTCATGAGTTAGCGTTTTCTGATCGAACGTAAGAACCTTGTTTCATTGGTGGTCTTCCGGTGGATGAAAAGAATTTTATTGTCCCTGATTGGCCTCTGATTTGGGAAGGTTACTGGACACAGCTCCAGCACGAACTCAGTAATGAATAAATACATCTTCATGAATCTGGGATTCATGACCAAATCGTTTTTTTAGGCAGTTGAATGAAACCTTCCCTAGGGAAATTTTTATTTGAATTGGCGATGACAAATAATCCTCCAAAGTTATTGGCCATTAGTCGACTTCAGGAGTTGGTATTCACTGTTTAAGGCGATTGATTAAAATGAAAGTACCTGTTGAGACACTCCTGTTATTTGCCAAGCTATCATGTTGCCTTTATTTTTCCTGGACGAGCTTACGTCGCTCCTCAACAATATCTACTGATGAATATGCCTCAGTTTTCTGGCGGTGTGACTGCCATTCTCATTTGGCTAAATAACAATCCTGTAGTCCGAGTTGGACAAGTAAAGTGTGGATTGGAGGATGTTTACGTCTGTTATCAGATAACTATCTTGGGTACTCTTTGGCATCTATCTTAATCCATAATAGTTTTAATGCTGTACACTCAAACTGGCTTCCTATTGTGAAATTTCACCCTTCACGTAACTACTAATAAAGGGTTTCCGGAATATACTGGCACTTCATTCTGTTCTTCACAGTATACTATATCTGGCTTTCATATTTTACGCATCTGATATCCTCCATGTCACTCTAGGACACTCAACTCAAGGTTTCTCATTCTCTTTCTGTTCCACACTCTGATGTATGGTGATATATTTTCAGGATTATATTTGCAGATGTTCGAGGCATTCCATGTTCTTGAAGTAGCAGTCAAATTACTTCGTGACCAACACTGCCGAAGGAGTTGTTTCCACAGTAATAAGTAGAACGGAAAGTGTGTTTGGCAGTAAAATCCCAGTAGAAAAAGAAATGAAAGACACTGTCTTGTCACCGAGCAGCACTAGATCATTTTTATGAGCCAAAATATAAAAGTTGAGGTATCTGACTTGGCCGCATGAAAATGTGCGCCTATGATCTGATATGTTAAATTGATGAAATGTTTTAATTACAAATTTTAAATGATTACTCAAGCAATAACATATCGTTAAAACGTTTCAATACCAACATTTCCGATACAAAACACTCGAAAGATGAAGATATGCCTTAAGATGCTAAGTTGATTCACTTATCAGTACTCCAAAATGCGTTTAAGAGATATGTTGGTCCCTCCAAAAATACACGATTTTCATGAACGCTTTCAATTTATTGAATAATACATGCAAACTAATCCACTGTCGTTGTTCGCTAATGGTGATAACAATTTGTGTCGTGAACGTGTTTAAGCCAGTTGTGACGCGGCTGATTCTAAAAATTTTCAGGTGATACTTTTCGCCTTTTGGCGAGGTGTAATACCTGAGGGTGCTCTGTGTTTTCTGATTTCGGTACTGTTGGATGCTTTATAATTTTAAAATGAATATGAAAACAAATGTATCGTGATTTTGTGGATTTTATATAATGGATTATGCTAACAGCAGTCTTGACCCAGAAGTTCTTGAGTTTTATCGTCCAAATAGGTCTAAGCATGTTCGGTGTCATTCTCATCACCATTCACACCAATTTATGCACCCAAGGCGCTTTCACAATTCTCAACCCACCACTCAGACGCAGCTGTCATTAGCGCCTTATAAAAATTCTAATTATGCAACTCCTAATGTTCATCACTCGAACGTGCCTAATTTTCCCGATTCACGTATGCACCACCACAGACCGCAGCTTCAACAGCACGTAGCACATAAACCTAATTCTGAGCACTACCACTACCATGTTAGCCAAAATGCCTTCAGATCCTCCGTGAGCCTCAAAATCTTGGAAGTACGTGTGGAGGGAGCATAAATACACTTACATCTACAAGTGGAGTTAGTAGCAATTCTGGCAGCTTATGTACCAGTAGTGGATCACGTTCAAGTCACAAGTCTGGTACCAGTTTACGTGCGGTAGATCTTATTCCACTGTTGAAAGAGAAGATCGCACTTTTACCTGGTGGCAGATCAAGAAGAGGTGGACCACTATTGTGCTTTCCTTCCAACTCTCGAGCTGATGAAATCCCCCTTGAAGATCTATACGTCCTTGTAAGGTATTTAACATACCTTCCAGATGATAAGGTGAAACGATTGGGCTTTGTGGTAATAATCGATATGCGTAGTGGGACAACTTGGCACAGTGTTAAACCAATCTTAAAGGCAAGTTAGTTTTACATTCTGGCATAATTGCATTTCAGGTGTTAGAAGAATGCTTAGGTCGAGACGTGGCTTTGACTTTCATAATTAAACCTGACAAATTTCTCGAGAAACACAAAGCTCAACTGGCAATTGGGAAGTTCAGCTTTGAAATCCAGTTGGTATCGGTGGATGCTTTGTTTCGTGAAGTTGACCCAAGTCAGTTAACCGCAGAAATGGAGGTTAGTGCTGCATAATTATAATTTCAATGTTCACTTAAATCAGTAGTTATTTTTCTGATTATTGTTAATACTTTTCTGCCACCATATTATGGACACTTGTTATAGTCGTGACTTCATATAAAACTCATAGTTAAGTTATATGAAAAGTTATAATCTGACTATCCTAGTTGTAAATAATTGGTTGCTTCTATTGTGTTAGATCCTCTGCATGCTACGACTGTTGACATTGAGTAAAAAATTATCAAGTTTTTGCAATCTTATCGGTTAGGTCACCGATCCTCATAACCTTAGAGTCAAGTGATTGAAATAAATTTGATAGTTTATTCAAGCAACTGAGTCTCAAGCATATACGGTTATCGCTACTGTAGTTTTGTGCGAACCGATCCAGACCGTCAAGGTTTCCTTGTATTTATATTTCGTTTATGCTAGTGCTTATAGGCTTTTTTGGTGTTTTTTCATGTTAGTGCGGTGTATGGTGTGTTTCGCTTTCATATCCATTCGGTGATAAAAGACACCTTAAGCTCTCGTCCTGTCGTTCAAAATGTTTTTAGTGTTTGCTGAAACTTTTGCCTAATAAGGAATCACAACTTAAGGGGTTGACAGCGCGTGGTAATGTCACTACCAGAATTTAGCTCTACTTAATCACTTCATTAACGGCGTCATATGAGTCCTGCTGTTTTATAGGTTCTTTCATATGGTCTTTTGTTATGGACTTCTTGGTATCCCATCTACCTGCATGAATAAATGATCCCTAGTGGTTTACAGTGGTGCAAATCTATTCACTTCTTGTCGTGTTGCAGATTCCGAAAATGTTCGCTGGTCTTTATTAAATCATTTTCCTGTACATCTCCATGCGTTTGGTCATGCTTATTGCGTGAGGTCTAGTGATATTACTTGGCCACTGGGAGCTTGGATTTCAGACCCATAACGCACTGGTCAGAAATCGAGTGCGTAGGCATTTTGTTCAATATTAAGGACTTAATGTACTCATGAGAATAGCATCAAGGTAAAGAACTAATAGCTTGGTCTTTCGAATCACTTTCAATTTGCATGTGGTAATATTAGTGTTTGTCGCTTACTTTTTCTAACTAAATGTACATATGGGCAAGTATGAAGCATTATATCATAGTGGTTTAGAATGTTTAATCACCAGTCAGGTGGGAAAGTAATTGGTGGTTAGACATGGGTGGTTATGGCTGTTTTTAAAGTGGAAACATATTTCTTAAGGTCTGTCTCTGTCTGTCTGGATTCAACATAGAACTTGGCACCGAAGTGCAGCAGTTCGAGTTGCCACGTTCCAAATAGCCCACAGAGGTAGACAAGAAGATGAGTGAAGAGAATTAATAGAGTTTGACAAGTATAAGAGTGAAACAGAATGGGTAATGGTAGAAAGGAATATGAAAGATTACAGAGACTGAATACATCTGCGCCATTGACAACGATTTTGAGCCATGTCACCTATTGTCTCCAGCCATTGATTCCTAGAGTCCCGAGGGCCCCAACCCGGAAGTCTGCATCTCCCTACCTGACTCAGTTTAACTGTCAAGGATTTCATGGATTGATGCCATGTTTTTGTTTGGCCACCACTGGCTCTTTTCCAACCTGAACCTATATCAGCTAGCAAAGCCCGTCGGGGGAGGCGGTGGTTAGGCATGCGCAGCACGTGACCTAGCCATCTTAGTCTATGTAACTTTATAGCCTCGTCGATTGATTTTCCCTCTTTGCCCAACACTCTACGCCTAACATCATTACTTATCTTGTGAAACCACCTAACGTGAGACAGAGATCGCAGACATCTATGATCGAAAGCAGTCAACCTTTTCATGTCTTCAACGCGTATTGGCCATGTTTCAGAGCCATAGAGAAGGACGGAGCGAACTGCTGAGCAGTACACACGTCCCTTGGTTGATAACCGGATGTCACGCCTACGCCAGAGATGGTGTAAGTCAGCGAAAGCAGCTCGAGCTTTTCGGATCCGTGCTGAGATTTCATCGCCAATCAGTCCGTTGGTGCTAATACAACTTCCCAAGTAGGTGAAGTGGTCAACATGTTCTATCACTTCCCTCCCTATCACTAAGTTAGGGGTTGACGTGGTCCAGTCCTGTAGCAGCATCTTACATTTTGCAGGGGCGAATCGCATGCCAAACATACGAAGATTGCTGCTCAAGGTGTTCAGAAGACTCTGCATTTTGTCAGCATCCTCCCCTAACAGGACTATGTCATCTGCATATTCTAAGTCCATAAGATTATTCCCTGGTAACAAGTCGATTCCTAAGTCACTACGTTCAGTTAAGGATACTTCCATTAGCATATCTATGATGAAGTTAAACAGAAATGGGGAAAGTGGACATCCCTGTCGGACACCACTGGTTGTTACCAATTCAGATGACAATTCCCCATAAGCCCTTACACGACTACGTGAGTTTGAATAGAGTGCCTTGATTAGTGCAACGTACTTTCTTGGCACTCCCTTCACAGTCAGACATTGCCATAGTACCTTTCGATCCACGGAGTCAAAGGCCGCCTTCAAGTCAAGAAATATGGTGGGAATTGTGACGCCTGATAGTAAATGTTTGGACCAGTTTAAACCTGTTTTTCGATAAGAAACGTCTCGGAAACACAACAGCTGTGGTGGTTCGGTTGTTGTTTCACAGGCTTTGATTATTATTATGTTATACAATTCCTTACATATTAACCCTAAAAGAGTCTGTGATTTGGCTCCATGAATTGGAAGGTAGTTGATTTAGATTACCATCTGTTTCTGCACCACAGGCTGACTAACTGGTTACAACATAGAACTTAGCACCGATGTGCAGCAGTTCGAGTCGCCACACTTCACTTAGCACACAAACCAAGAGAAGGTAAAAAGAGATTCAAAATAGTGATATGAGGCAAAAGGAATAGTAATAACGAAGAACAATATAGTTTTATTGGATATTATTAGTCACACTAAGTGGATGCATCTGCGCCATCATTGAGAACGATTATAAGGCATGTCACCGACTGTCTCCAGCCATTGGTTTTTACCGTCCCGAGGACCCCAACCCGCCAAACAGGAAGTCTACACCTTTTTACGTGACTGGCTGGCTTAAACTAACTGTTGTGGGTTTCATTGACTGATGAATTGATGTTTTGGTTTGACAACCACCATTAGCTCTTTTCCAACCTGACCCTACGATAGCTGACCAACATTGGCCATTGTCGAGGAAGGTGAAGAATGGTGTAAGTCACTGATTATTCCCATATACAAGAAGGGAGACAAATCTTCCTGTGGTAATCACAGAGGGATTAGCTTGACTAATATAGTATCTAAAGTCTTAGGCTCAATAATCATGCGTAGACTAAGTGGTGCTCGGGAGGCACAAACACGAGAGAACCAGGCAGGCTTTAGACCAGGAACAGGGTGTATTGATCATATCTTCACCCTCCGATAGATTCTAGAACATACGCATTCCTACCGGCGTCCAACAGTCATTATATTTCTTGACCTAAAGGCAGCATTCGACTCTGTTGATCGAGAAGTTCTCTGGAGATGCTTGGCTGTAAAGGGAATGTCGAGAAAATATATTGCACTGATTGAGGCACTCTACTCGTACTCATACAGCCAGGTGAGGGCTTACGGCGAGCTGTTATCTGAACTGGTGACGACCAGTGGTGTCCGTCAAGGATGCCCATTATCCCCTTTTCTATTCAACTTCATCATAGATGTGTTAATGGACTTAACCCTAAGTGACTTCTGCGATTCAGGGATTGACTTGCTACTTGGGAATAATCTCGTTGACTTGGAATATGGAGACGATATAGTCCTTCTAGGCGAAGACGCTGACAAAATGCAGAGTCTTCTGAACACTTTGAGCTGTAATCTACGAATGTTTGGCATGCGATTCGCTCCCGCCAAATGCAAGATGATGTTACAGGACTGGACTACATCGACGCCTAGTTTAAAAATAGGAAGTGAAGTGGTAGAGCACGTTGACCGCTTCATTTATTTGGGAAGTACCATCAGCCAGTGCCAACGGGTTGATCTCTGACGAAATCTCAGCACGAATACAGGGGGCTCGTTTCGCATTTGCCAGTTTACGCCGACTCTGGCGTAGACGACATGTTCGACTGTCGACCAAAGAGCGGGTGTACTGCTCATCAGTCCGCTCCGTCCTCTTTTATGGTTGCGAGACCTGGCCACTCAGAGTGGAAGACATGAAAAGACTAGCTGTCTTTGATCATAGATGCCTGCGCTCTATTTCCCGTGTAAAGTGGCATAATAAGGTGAGCAACATTGAGGTTAGGCGTAGAGTTCTAGGTAAACAGGGGAAATCAATCGACGAGGTTATGAAGTTACATAGACTGAGATGGTTAGGACATGTGTTACGTATGCCAAGCCATCGCCTCCCTCGACGAGCAATGTTAGCGGATATAGGGTCAGGCTGGAAAAAAGCTAGCGGTGGTCAAACAAAAACTTGGCACCAGTCAATGAAATCCACAACAGTTGGTCTAAGCCACGTAGGAAGGTGTAGACTTCCAGGCTGGTGTCCTCGGGACGGTAAAAATCTATGGTTGGAACCAATTGGTGACGTGGCTCAAAATCGTTCTCAGTGGCGCAGATGAATCCACTCCTTGTGACCTATGATCTCCAATGAAACTGTTCTGTTTTTCTTTATTACTCCTTTGTCTCACACATCTGCTCACTGTTTCTATTATGCTTTTCTTGTACTTTCTTCTCTTGCTTCGCGTGCTACACGGAGTGTGGCGACTTGAACTTCCGCACATTTGTGTAAAGTTCTATGTCGAAAACAGACAGACAGACATCCGGATATCACATCTACGCCAGAGATGGCGTAAACTGGTATATGCGAAACGAACCTTCTGTATCTGTGCAGAAATTTCCTCAGCTATCGACGCGTTGGAGCTGGCTGAAGTGAAGTGGCCAACACGCTCTACCACTTGACCCCTATTTCTAAGCTAGGAATCAATGTAGTCCAGACTAGTCCTGTAGCATCATCTTACATTTGACAGAGGGAGCGAATGGCATGCTAAACATTCGAAGATTGCTGCTCCTCAAGGTGTTCAGAAGACTGCTGCATTTTGTCAGCGTCTTCACCTAGAAGGATCATATCATCTCCATTTTCTAAGTCAACGAGATTATTTCCTGATGGTAACAAGTCAATCCCTGAGTCTTTGAAGTCAGCAGTTAGGGTTGATTCCATCAGTACATCTATGATGAAATCAAACAGAAAGAGGGATAGTGGGCATTCCTGACGGACGCCACCGGTTGTTACCACTTCAGATGATAACTCATCGTAAGCTCTTACCTGGCTGCATGAGTTCGAATAGAGTGCTTTAATCAGTGCAATGTATTTTCTCGACATTCCCTTTACAGTCAAGCATCTCCAGAGAACCTCTCGATCGACAGAATCGAATTCCGCCTTTAGATCAAGGAATATAACGATTGTTGGGCGCTGGTAGGAATGCGTATGTTCTAGAATCTATCGGAGGGTGAAGATATGATCAATACACCCTGTTCCTGGTCTAAAGCCTGCCTGAATCTCTCGTGTTTGTGCCTCCCGAGCACCACTTAGTCTACGCATGATTATTGAGCCTAAGACTTTAGATACTATATTAGTCAAGCTAATCCCTCTGTGATTACCACAGGAAGATTTGTCTCCCTTCTTGTAAATTGGGAAAATCAATGACTTAAACCAGTCTATGATCCGATTCAGGGAGGTGTTGGATGTTGGGTAATTTGAGCGCCACTGTAGGCCAATTGAATTGCTCCTCAAAATGTTCTTTGCAACATTCTACTCGTCTATTCTGGGAGCTAATTATGGTGTCATTTTTCTCAGAGATTGTTTCATTTGTTGTTCGCCTTTTACCACTTGTATCTCGGGTAAGGCTCAATGGTTGTCTGGCGTTACCAGTCGCCGATGCCTCTTTCATCTCTTTCTGTTTTGTCGACGAACACTGTTCACGGTTGTTACGATGACTTCTTGTCAGTTTGCGTTTGAATAGTTTTCGCTCCTCATCATAAACGAAATCAGTCTTCTTGCGTTGGTCGGTTTAGATGAGGCGGTAGAAATCCAATGGCTCTTACTAACTAAAGGTTTCAGGTTATTAACAGCTTTTACATGTGTCTACAGCTAACTGTATGTTGTACCAGGTTACCTCAGGAGGAGTCCTGCTGTCGACCTGGCACACTTGTTTCGCTCTTTCTTCCTTAAATAGGGACTGAGAGTCTCGATCTGTTTGGGGACGCAACTGTTTCGCTGACAACATAAGCATGTCCCTCTTTGTGCCTAAAGTTAGTACTGACTAGGAAGAGATGATTAGCTGGACAGAACTGTAGAAGACAATCACCGTTGTCAGTTCGTCAGTAGGGAACTCTATACGTATTGCCTATATACTTCTCAGTCTGGCATAACTTCTCTACTTGGGCATTGAAGTCGCCTGCTAAAACAACTATATCTGAACATTTTGCTTTTCGCAGCAAACTAGACAGTTTTGGGTGGAAGTCATCCTCTAGTTCATCCTAACTACAGTCGGTTGGGGCATAAGCGGAGACTATGAAAAGACAACGACGGGTTACGGCGTCCTTCCTTCTTCTAACGGACCTGTTCAGATGGACCGCACACATACGGCTGTCTACTGGGATTCAGTCAAGAAGGGATTTTTCCGCTTTAACATTCAATGCTTTTCCTACATCTGCGAGTCCTCGTGGACTAGCTCAGGGGTCTCCTGACACCCTTAAAGTGAGTTTTGCAGGTTTACCTTGTTGGCTGGGTGGGGTTAAGTGAATAACCGCAGTTGCGTCTTGTATGAGTGTCTCCGAGACACAACATACTTCCATGGCTCGAGATGCCGGAGTTGTGGTTAGTGGTGTCTCTTGTCCGATTCGGCAGAGGGTTCTGACGTCGAATGCTCCTACATTAAGTTGGCGGCATGGCTTTAAGAGGTTGTCGGGAATGTTTCTATGGCTCTCATTGTTTGTGGTCACAGAGTGAAGTGAGGATGACTCAATAGCCTTCAGAATAGTACCGACTGTAGTAGGGAGGTAAGAAGATGAAGGTGATGTGGGTAAAGGAGAATGATGCTCAGGAAGGCTTCGTGTGCTTCTGGAGGTGTGTGGACGGTTGTTACTTCCCGGCTGCCCACACCACGGAAGTTGATTGATTCTTTGGGTACCTGAAACAGAAAGAGGGTTAGAGTTGCGCGACCACAGAGTCCAGGGGACAACTGTTTGAGGCCGGTCACACACGGCCTGTATAAACTGGTTTCTTGGTTTAGTTCCGTATTAGTAAACCCACCGCCGGTTACGGACCACCGTAGGGTAGGTCGGGATGTACAATTTTCAGGGTCGACCTTTTCTAACCCCCCTCTCTACAGAGTTAAGAGACAGCATAGCTGGCATGCTAGACATCTGAGGGAAACATCTTACTGCTGTTACATCCCTGTTCCCCAGCAGTACGACGTCGCCCACAGACCCCCAGCATAGTGTAATAAAGATTCTTACACTGTACCGGTAACTGCCTTTAGTCTAATCACTATGCTAACAACCCTCCTGGCATGGTGAGACCTGCAGGAACAACAGTTTCAGCCAGTGTAGCTTGTTGGGTCATTGTGATGTGCAAGCTCGACCACCACGTCAAGGTAGCAGCTATCGATCTGGAGTGGTTATAGGAAAATTGTACGATTCGGAAGGTTGAGGCATAATAAAATGTGAAACTTGTATTTCGTAGTGTTTGGTTTGGCAGTAATTATCATTAATACATTTCAATTTTCCAAGGGAAGTCTCCCGTACCATCATGAAGAGTGGATCAAAATTCGGTGCTGCCTTGAAGAATTCTTTTTGTTCGCCAATGATATGTCTGACAAATTCGGTCAGCTTTATTGTTTTTTGGACAGAAAACTTAATCCAGAGACTGTTGAAGAGGCCAAACGTGCTCTGGAGGAGCATAGATCAGTACGTCTAAAGGTGAGTGATTATTTCACATCCAATTTTCATTTTGTTGACCTTTTCATAATTTCCAGTTTTAAAAGGTTGATCAGGAAACAAAGAATATTCCTTTCGATAACTTCAGGTTCTACAGTTATGTAACCATAATAATTTAAGAATTTTTAAAATTACATTTAATCTTTAATATCGATAGATCGCAGTGGGAATATGACTCAGTATAACACTAAACTGGATTTTGAATAAATTAAGGAAGGTAACGCAGAATCTATGAATTTATTAGTTCCACAGCAGGTCGATGAGCGTCGGTGGCATAGCGGTTAGGACGCTCGTCGACCATGCACATGGTCCGGGGTTCGATCCCCGGCCGGTGAACTCCTTTGCCCCGCTAAGCCAGAAATAATGCTGGTAAAGAGGAAAGATTGGGCATGAGGCTAGCAACCCCATCCTGTAAAAATAAACACCACTGCTACAGAAACTTTAGGCCACTAGCTTGAAGTCCTATGTTCCACTGGGGAACGTGAAGAAAAAACAAACAAAAAAACAGCAGATCGAGACAGCTTAATTGGTTGATCCTTTTTCTTTTTCACGCGGAGCTTTGGTTGTTTTAAGAGGATTGCAATGCTCCTGCTGTTTGGAGTGTTTGGTATCTAGGGGCTTGTGATAATTTATTCGGTACTCTATAGACGATAGAGGAAATTTCTCAACAGGTGGTTTTGTGGTCTGTTCGGGTGAAGTGATCTAGTTTAGAACTGTTGGTGCTTTTTACTACACCATTTAGTCACACTGGTAGCCGTTCCTGAGCACGGAAAATTAAGTCCTTAGAGCCACAGCCAGCACAGCAGCAGCAGCAGTTTTATCTATGTCGTTTCTATTTCTCCGGCATTTTAAATTTACATAGTTTTTTCATCACTACTTATTTGCACATTTATCACCTAATCCTTATTTCATGCGGTTACGGATGTTTTCCTCAGATTGTTCAAGCTCCAGTCCCAGCTCTTGAGGCCGAAGCTGATCGACTAACCTCATGGTTGCGCTATGGTATAACTGCTTCACAATCTGGTGCAAATGCATCTGCTAATTCAGGCTCTCAATTATGTTCTAATACCACCGCCCCTGGTGGCGGTGCATCTTTTCTTGCCACATCGTGGGTTTCTATGAATCCTGACTTTCAGCAGGTAGTTGAGAATTTTTTATTTAAGTTTCAACAATTATTTTAGAATGTTTTTTTCTCGTTTATCACTGACCAACGATTAGTTTCAGATTACTGCATATCTAAGTTTTATTTAACATGAAAAGGTTGAGCTTGTGTAGTCTTTTATTCAAGTAGAGTATCACTTCTGCATTTACCAGTTCAGTCTGTTAGTTGGAGATCAGTTAGGGTTAGGATCATAACTTTCGAGTGCCAGGCTATTCGTCGCACTTAAGTATGTGAGAACTGATAATATAATCCATTGTGTTTCATAGTCTTGTTTGTATGGAAAAATCCTTTGGTTGTTGGTTTGATAACAGAAACATTCAAAATCAATGCGCTTACAGTACTACCATAGGATAATGATGTGAATTTCAGTAAATAAGCACCCTTTTAAAATTACCAGGTGTGTGATAGAGCAAATCACAATATAAGTTGCAGATAAATGAAGTAATCGAGGGTGTTTAGGACAGCTGTTACATTACTTTGTTTAATCCCATTATTTGCCTGTCTCCAATTTTATTGTGCCTTACATTTTTAAAAGTACACAAAATGTTTTGCCATTCGATGAATCATTAAACCGTTAAAAAACGCCTTTGTAATTTATCTTCTGTCTGCATAAAAATATAATGCGTATTGATAAGGTGGTGGGGTTATATAATATTGAAAGTGAGTAGTGAAGAAGGGCTTGCTTAATTGAGTATCTTTCAAAATGCGCTTGGTAAGGTTTTACATTCTTTAGAAACCTATATAGCTATTGACAATTATTTCCATATAAGTTTGTTCAAGTTTTGCGCATAAATTATGTATGACAATTAGGATTCTAATAGTTTATGTGGAAAGAATTTCAAATAATTCGGTATTTTGATTGTAATGATGTTTGTGTGTTTCAAAGTACTCACATATTCTTTAAATTGATTACCAGTGTCTTTATTTTGAGATTAAATAATACAGTGTCTGGTTTAGCTCATTCACAATTTCTCACAGGTTCATTTACTTCAATCCCAATATTATGATATAAGTTTCTCTTCATATTTTCATAGTAGGAGAAGTCTTGCTTGGCAGTCGCTCACATGCGTGAATGAAGCACTGCTGTTCAACTCATAATTCCCCGTTTCTAAGTTTGAAATCAGCTGTTTGATACCTCTTAGATCTCCAACTGGCATTACTCAATAATCGGAAGCAGTTTGAAGTTGATCACTATCAAACAATTTCTCAATTAAATAACGATTTTCTCTCCGTGTTTGGTATCTTCTACACAAAAATTCTCGTAGTTTATACTGTCATTGTATTTCGGCACTGTTTAGTTAGCACATCTTGTATAGGATAGATGCTAAATAATTATTATTGTTGTTCTTAATCAGTTGGTTCCACAGGTTCGGCATACAGTATCACAACTCTACGAGTTTCGTACTCGTTTACAACAGAAGTGGGAAGCTGGTAGATCCCGGTTAGAACAAATTTATCAGCTTCGCTTGTTTGATGAAGATGCCAGAGGCATGTCTAACTGGATAGATCAACAACGTCATTTGTTCCTTACAGAGTATCTAGATATCGGTCAGACAGCATCACATGTAAGTTATATGTAATTTGTTATCATATTTGTGTAAGTCGTGAGATAACAGACTTATGCGTCTGTCAACTGTGTTCAGGTTTCGGAACTTTACTTCTCGCGTTACTTTTTGATTGCTGATGACAATTCTTAAAAGAAGGCGTTCAGAGAAGAATTACTCCGCTGTTTCAGCAGTATAATTCCCAAGCGGCACAATCGCATATATATATAAATATACATACTAAATTGTCTTAGCAACACAAAATATTTTCAAAGATGTGTCATTAGAATTGTAAACTTTCCCAGACAACAAATTAAGCAGTAAGGAAAGTTTCAACCAGGTTGAAAGTAAAATAAAGTTAAAAAAGTGGACCCAGTGACGTAATATAATTGTGTGGAAATCACCTGGAACTGAACGAGAATCAAGTTAACAACAGTGTTAATGATGGATAGAAATCTAATAGGGAGTGAGGAAGGAAAATTACAGTTAAAATGACAAAATACTGAAGTTAAGTATCCAGTGTTAGGACACACCAGGTCTACTGTCGATTTAGTGACTGGAAGAATTTCTTCTGTATGTAGAGTCCTAGATTTAATGTGTGAATTACCATTGCTTCCACGGTTTGAAGAAGTTTCATTCGTATTCTTTTAACAAGATTCCCGCGTATTCTATAGACGACTTTGAGGTTACATTGTGGGTTAGCTTGATGTCCAGATTCGATGAGGTGTTCCAGGATGGAGGTGCGACGAGGCGATCTTTCTTCTCCTTTATAAAACCATGATTGTGGGTAAATGTTCGTTGATACGAGTGGATAGCAAACACTGGGTACTTCTGATATACCTAGCTCCACATGAGCAGGTGAATTGATGATAGATACACATTGATGAAGCCAGTAGTGGTAGCCCATCCTTCACGTTGATGAGAATTATTGGTTTCGTCGAGGAAGTTGGTCGAAGTTCAGCCGCGAAGAAGGTTTTTACTTCAATGAACTGGTCCGGTGGTTTCTCGGTATGTCTGCCAAGTAGTAGTAGTTTCTGTTGAATTGTAAATTCAAGTAGAGAATTGTTTTAGGAGCAGAAGGTGTGTGTGGGAAGGTATTTCAGTGGTTCGGGCTTCACGGATTTAGTGTTGAAACATTCTGGGTAACCATTTTCAAGGAGGAAAGTTTTTTCAGTGTTCAATTCCTCTTCCATAGCATCAGGACTGCAAACGCGGCGGATTCTGAAAGTATCAGGTTTCGCTTTGTATGTAGTCTCACCCAACTATGAAGGTTAGTAAGTTCTTCATTCCATGTTAGCCATCTGTAGATGGGTCTTTTTAGTGTTCAATCTCGTTTACTCCTTGTTAGTTGGACGTCCAGAAAAGATATTTCTGAGTTGGGCTCCTTCTCTAATGCGAACTGGGTTGCAGGGTGTCAACTGTTGAGAAAAAATCCATAATGTCTTTCAAATCCTCTTCAATTAGTCCTGTTTCTTATTATTCAAGAATAGAATGGTTCTGAAGTGTACTAAAGTTAGTAGATGAATAATCTATGTAATTGCTTTATTTCAAAATTGTTTTTCATTAGCTTTTTCAGTATTAAATAATTATTAAATACAATTAAAATGTGTTTTGTGCATGACAAAATTTTTTCGTAGTACACGAACAATCTGTCCAAGCTAACCGAGTTTTGACAACTGTTGGCTACTAGTTAAAGGTGTAAAGGCAAGCATCGATGATCACTGAAACGGCTTTGCGGCATGGCGGTGTCAGTCTTAGATTTTATTCATTTGTTCAGTTGTTTTTGTTTGGTGTTGTGGATTTCCGTTTATTTCATGAGTGTTTTAAGTAGCAATTCTTCTCATATATTTGTTTATATGTAATGATGCCTGATTTTCTTTTTACGAATGTGACAGGCTGCTGATCTACACGCTGAACACCGACAATTTCTGGCTAAATGTAGCACTGTTCGCGAACAGGTTGCTCGTTTAACAGGAGTAGCTGGAATGCTTGCAGATACAGGTCATTTTGCCAGTCAACAAATTTTAAAACAGGTTTGTCTATCACGTAGTGAACAACTGTCGTCTATAATTATATGCATGCAGTTATGTTTTTGTAGTATTGAATATAAAGCTTGTCATATTCACTGGTAGTTATACTTTGTTCTGTACTTTTTGTTTACTTTCCATACACACAACATACTCACACACGCACACACACACACACTGAGATACTAATAATTACTGGCATGACTTGACTTTTATTATTCAGATTAGGAGGTTATCATATTTTAAATTGACTATATTTCATTGCCGGTCTGAATAACATTTATTAACTTCCTTGTAATTTCGTTTGGTCAATCGTCTTATGGATAAATAAGAGGTATTGTATGGTGAGATGTTGTTCTGTCTGTCTCTGTCTGGATTCAACATAGAACTTGGCACCGAAGTGCAGCAGTTCGAGTTGCCACGTTGAGATGTTCGGAGTGATCTCACAACCAATGAACATGTTGAAGGTAGAGGAAAGCAGAAAAAGCAGATAAATGATATCACTGACAATGGTGCTAAATACCATCGATACGCGAATACAAAGATTTGATATGATTAGAACATGAGAATGCGGTATAGAGTGTGACTGACTGAATTTTCATATGGGACTTTGCACAAAAGTGTATTAGTTCAAATCGCCGCATTCCATGTGGCATACAAAAGTACAGGAAAGAAAAAAAAGTTTGCAAATCTAATGAACAAAAATGTGTTGGAGAAAAAAGTGGTAATATGGAGAAACATAGGCATGTTACGCATCTGGGAGATTACAAAGAAGGCATGCATCCGTGACATTGAGAATGATCTTAAACCACACCAAAAGTCTCTAACCATTGGTCCCTAGCATTGTGAGGATCTAGCCAATCGTCGCCCTTAAATGGCTGACCCAAACGAACTGCTAAGAATTTCATAGACTGATACCAGGTTATGACTTGACCACCTCGAACTTTTTGCCAACTTAATCCGATGTCAGCTAACACTGCTCGTCGATGAAGGCGGTAACTTTTCATGCTCAACACTTGTCTTAACCATCTCATTCGATGCAGCTTCACAATCTCATCGATTGACTTCGCTTCCTTACCTAGATCTCTGCGCCTAACCTCAATATTACTCAATTTATTATACCATTTAACACGGGAGATGGAACGCGAACATTTGTGGTCAAAGGTGACTGGCCTTTTTATATTTTCCGCCATCAATTGTTATGTCTCACAACCTTAAAAAAGAATGGGGTGGTATAGACACGACTGGTTTGTATCTATTTAACTTGATGAATGTAGGAAGCTGTGAGAACTGGTTGTAGGTAATTTCATATTTCCTCAATAGCATATCTTGTAAAAACATTAATATGGAATACTATATCACATGCTTCTCAATCATGAAGTTTAATGGACAACAACATTATGGGGCGTGGATGGTGATTCACACAGGTCATTTAGAGACTCCAAATTTCACCTAGAAATGAGTAATTTGCCTAACATGAATTTAATTTGTTAATTCGATTCAGCTGACGTTTACAACATGCCATTACGAAATCTGGATATCTATGTAGTTGTTTTTGGAGTGCCTTGGGCTTTACTACAGTCAGTAATAATAATATTATTATTATTGATTGCTTACCTTCGGAGTGGGTCGTAGGACTTCAGCAGCACATATCCATTGCACTCAGTTCTCTGCCAGCATTTTCAGTTGGCGCCACGACTGCCCATCATCTCTATGTCATTCTTGGGCGCCCAGGTTGTTGTCGTCCATTCTGGTTCCACTCCATAGCCTGTCGTGTAATGTCTTCTCAGTGTTTTCAAGTTTTACTGCAAAGTTGCGTTTCATCATCATCATTATTATCAAAATGCATGCTGTTTAATCTGTGTTAAATTGTTTATATACAATGTAGGCCAACCAGTTGGAACACGAGTGGAAGTCATTCACTGCAGCACTGGAGGATCGTTCTCGTGTATTACAACTATCCGCTAGTTTTCATGCAAGGGCTGAATCCTTTCTAGCTAACTGTCCACATTGGGAAAGTGCAATGCGTCAGGTCAATGGAACATCAGTACATGAGTTAAATCAAGCCTTGATTACACTTCAGGTAATTCTTGTCTGATCTATCTTTATATTTATCAACTTTGACGTTTTCTTTAAATATTTTGTATCAAATATAAAGCCTTATAATAAAAGCTATCGTTAAATTCGTCCAAATTTACAGAATTCTTAGACTTGATTTATGATTTTTACTAAACTATGAAGAAATTCAGTTTAGCTCACCACCTGAAATTTTTATTTCCATCTTTGATGCCTTATAGGAGTACTGGCAGGAAGCACAATCTGCTCACGAAGAAGTTTGTGCAGATGGTCGAGCTTTAGCTAATCATCTAAGCTCGCCTGTTCCGACTGGATCTCATACTTCTTTAACAGCCGCTGTGGATTATTCACAAGGTCGTAAACATTGTACAGACCTTGTTCATGAGGTGAGCATTCATTACTTTTATTTACCCTATTATTCCTTTCTTATTGTTTTACTTGAAGCAAAATGTTGATTCTAATATTATCAAGATTAGAGTTAATTATCATTTGTAGGAATTCATTGTAAATTTATCCATAGTAACTTGATTCATTTCATCGACTTTATCGCTGTGTTGTTTGTTATATAGCTCAGTCTTTCATTGTTAATTATTTTTTTACATTTTATTTGCATATTTATGTATTTGAGAGAGTTAATCGTTTTCTTTACCTATCTTAAATTCTACTCAGATATGGGCTTGGTTTAAACAGTTAGAACGGGTTTTTGGTGAACGTAGACGTCGTCTAACAGCTCGTTTAGCCTTATTAATGTTTAAAGAGGATGTTGGACAAGTATTAGCCTGGTTAACTGAACATGGAGAACCGTTTTTACAACGTCAAACATCTGTGGGCAAGTCTATTCAACGGGCAGAACAATTGTACAGTGCACATATGCAATTTGAACACGTAAGGAAGTCACCTTTTTTCTTCTCTCCATATGGTATCGTTTTTTTTATTCCTTTGCATTCTTAGAGGAACATAGGGCTTGAAGTTTTAAAGTTCCAGTAGCAGTGGTGGTATTCTTTTTTTTTTTTTACGGAGTGAGGGTGCTAGCCTCACACTCAACCTTCTCTCTCTATCTTGTAATATTTGTTTATGCTCCTAACATCCATGTTGTATGTAGAGGATTTGTGTATAGTTTGTCTTTAGTCAGTATAGTCATTATAAATCAGCCCGAAGGTATTTATTGGAAAGGTCAGTTGGTGCGATAAGTGTTTAGGACTACACACATCAACCGTTGCTTCATGTACCTGAGAGCATGAAATCAGTGTATTCCTTCGTTTTCCGTACATATATTGCAAATCAGTACAGTATCTCATCGCACAGTAGATATATACACCTTTTTTAATTATTATTTGAACAGAGAAAGAACAAACATTGGTTCAGAATAACATGGATCCATTTTGTTTCGATGTTTCGCATCAGCTGCGCATAACCTACAATCTTTAATACAATAAGTTAATGTAAGATTTTGACGTACTTTTGTCAATCAACAAGCATATTGTTAGAGAGAGGTTTCTCGAAAATTAATTGACAAATTTACAAAAATTGGTAACAGTTACTTAGTTAGATAAGTTAGATTTGATCTCTGGCGAAATCTCAGCACGGATACAGAGGGCTCGTTTCGCATTTGCCAGTTTACGCCGACTCTGGCGTAGACGAGATTTTCGACTATCGACCAAAGGGCGGGTGTACTGCTCATCAGTCCGCTCCGTCCTCCTTTATGGCTGTGAGACCTGGCCATTGAGAGTGGAAGACATGAAAAGCCTGGTTATCTGTCTTTGATCATAGGTGCCTGCGTTCTATCTCCCGTGTGAAGTGGCATAATAAGGTGAGCAACATTGAGGTTAGGCGTAGAGTTCTAGGTAAACAGGGGAAATCAATCGACGAGGTTGTGATGTTACATCGACTGAGATGGTTAGGACATGTGTTACGTATGCCCAAGTCATCACCTTCCTTGACGAGCAATGTTAGCTCACGCAGGGTCAGGCTGAAACCAGTCAATGAAATCTACAACAGTTAGTCTAAGCCATGTAGGAAGGTGTAGACTTCCTGACTGGTTGGGGTCCCCGAGACGGTAAAAACCAATGGTTGGAAACAATTGGTGACGTGGCTCAAAATCGTTCTCAATGATGGAGCAGATGCATCCACTCCTTGTGACTTATGATTTCCAATGAAACTATATTGTTCTTCGTTATTACTATTCCTTTGTCTCACACCTCTGTTTACTGTCTCTATTATGCATTTCTTCTACTTTCTTCTCTTGCTTTGTGTGCTACATGGAGTGCGGCGACTTGAACTTCCGCACATATGTGCAGAGTTCTATGTTGAAAACAGACAGACAGACAGACAGTTAGATAAGGGAAAGTTAAGATTTGGTGTGCAAATGGTCTAATAATAAAATTATGACGTAATACTGTGAATAGAACCTAAAAGATCAAGGATAATTATCTCTTATGGACGTCGAACAGAAAACAATGGGGCGGGGGTTGAAAGATAAGTAAATGAAATTAGAAAACAAAGAGTTAGTAAGAGATGAGTCACCAGGGTAATCGAAGTTCAACGACAAACTGCTTTTGCACACATTGGTTAAGTTTCAGCCGTTTTGTTGCAATATCCTCAGCAAAACGTAATTATTGTCAGACAGAAATCATTCTTATTGTATAAGTTCTCACTTACCACCCAACTAACGAAAAAGTTGATTCTATAGAATGATGTCTGTGTATGGGTTTTTGCGTTTATAAATACTGAACTGTTACTGTTTGTACTTAACTGGTTATTAAAGAAGTTATTTTTAAAACCAGTATATACCTCTTCCAGTTCATTATCATATGTTGATAAGTTAATGTGATAAATCATTGATTTATTGGTCTTTGGTGAAGATAACCACGACGTAAATTCCAACCCGCCTGGTCAACAACTATGCAAAAGGTTAATTGGTGGATGGTGACTAGCAGTGGAATCCAGGATGCCCATTTCGTCCTACTTAGGACTCGTCAACTGGATGTACTTGCATTCGGTCCAATCAATCGATGGGAAAATCTAAATTTCAATTAAATAAACTATGCGAGGTATTTAGGATAATTCTCAGTTAAATTTTAAGGACTGGGATAAAGGGAACAACTAACCATCTACTGCTGTTCAAGTTTTATCATTTCTTTGAGCAGTATTACGTCACTTTGACAATACTACCTCATAAACTGAAAATCTGGCTGTACTTTTGTCTGTTTACTACAAAGAACTTCGAGTTTGTTTAACGTCTTAAGTTCTCAGCTCATCTTCCGTAATACTTTTACATTATGCAGTCTACATACTTCTCTGCATCATTGAAATACCACCGTCGATTCTTATCATAACTTGAATATTCAAAAAAATTTCATTCAACAATGTACCCGAGTTTGTGTAATAGTTATAACGATAGTGATTCTTTTCATTTAGGTTGCTTCTAATACCTTGACAAATGCAGAGAAACTAATTTCTGCTGCGGATGAATTAGCAGCCCAGGCAGATGATCCAGAAGAAATATTACAGGTTAGTTAAATTGTCTATCTGATAATTTGCAGTTTATGAATGAATAGTGGGAATTTAATGATTATTGTTACTCTCATCACCTTCCTGTGCGTGTGTGTGTGCTTAAAGTCAGTCAGTGAGTCAGTGGAAAATCTTTGACAAATGATTTTGTTCTGAATGACGTGCATTCAATTCAGTGTCTCTGTCATTAACAAAATGTGAATTGTATTCCTTTTGCTCTCACAAATGTTTGTCCTATTCTTGTTTTATTCATAGTCATTCTCAGTATGTTGTAATTAGTACTGTGTAACAAATTCCTTTTTTACATCTCTCTGTTTGATAAGTATTTTTTTGTATGACTAACCTGATTACGGTCCTGTTTTGATGAATTATTATTCTGATGTGCATTTATTGACTCACCATAACAACAGACATATCGACTGGGCATATATTTTATGTATGTCGCCAATCTAGTTTTAAATTCTTTCTAGATCATTGCTTAAAAAAATAATAAATAAACAAAGTGAAATTCTTCTTCTGTGACAAGCTAATGAATGACTGGACAACAACAAATTCACTAGGTTCTATGAATATTCAGTCAAGCGTACAGTTATTAACTAACAATTGTAAATTTACTTATCCTATTATGTTCATCTGTTCAGCAAACCGTCCTATTGATTTTTTGTCAAATATTGTCTATCTACCTATCTATCATCATGTATAATGAACGACACTCTCTTAGCATAATTTACCGTTATTAAACGTGTATATATTGGCGTTGACACTGAGAAATAATGCTACATATATCTTATTTTATATTTACTTTTTCCTTTTTTTTTCCTTATAGATTAGAGAGTATATTCATTCATTTGTTTGTTGATACGATATAATGTATGTCATTGAAAACTGAATACTCTTCCCTTCTCATTATTTTTAATCAAACGATTATCATAATGCTGCAATGTATGACTTGTTTTTTCCTTTTGCTAAATGAGTGTACACATACACTTCTCTTGTTTTTCTCCTCTTACGTAAGTCACATACGCATTCAGTAGTCGGCTCCTTTACATGTATGTGTATGTGCGTGCGCTTGCCCATGAGTATGTTTTGTGCGTGTGTGTGTATGTATGCTGTTCTATCGGGTTAAATAGTAGTTGACTCATTTGTTTTTCTTTTCAACTTTTTCCGTGTGTATATATATATATATTCTGTTAGCTGGAGAAACTTCTTCTTACTTTTACGTTTACTTTGTATACACAGAAAATGGAGATTATGTTTGACATTCTCTCTCCCTCTCTCTCTCTCTCTCTCTCTCTATATATATATATATATATATATATATATATATAATGAAATGTCAGATTCACTGCTCCTATAATATTATGATTCAAAATATTTAAAACATTGAGTTTAGAGTATTTTCTTTAAAAAGGGGATGATTCATTGGAGAATTTGTCTGAATTATTTCAGACAGCATAAAACAAATTGGTTCTTCTTTTTATTTGAGTAGAAAAAAAACTATGAAAGTGAACAAGACCCAAAAAAAGTGACTAGAGTACAGTGTACAAGTAAATTCATGAAGACTAGTAAGATGTTCCGCAATGCCATCCACGATATTCTGTTTGATGGATGTGGGGATGGATTGCGTCATATAATATCGAATTTATCGCCGCAAATAAATCAATCACTGAGGTGTGCTTGTGAGTGAAGAAGTCGCAAACTAATATAAGCAGTTGACTTACTTACAGCCAGTGGGTCCCAGATTCGAGTTCTACCCCAACTACTCCAGACTGAGGAACTGGATAGTTTCACCAGCCCCTCGCATAATAGGTGTGGCTCATAGTCCAGTCCAGTTCAGTACATGGACTGGGTTGAAAAAAACGTGTATAAGAGTATATCTTTTTTCCTTCGCAGTATCAGAGTTTTATTCCTTTTTATTTTCTTCCCTTGGTAATTGATAACATGATTGTCTTCATTTTCTTTTTTATCACCAGGATGCAAGTGAATTACAGCATCGTATTTCAGCTTTCACACGTGCTGTTGAAGTTCGGAGAGAAACTTTAGATCTTGGTTGTGGATTTTATTCACATACGAAGGAAGCTTTAGCCTGGCTGCATAATGCACGAGAAACACACAATCCTGGTGAACACTTACCTGCTTCTATTGAAGGCATGGAAGATGAACTGACAAGTTTTCATAGAAATCGAGCAGCTATGGAAAAAGATGTAGACCGTGCACTTGCAGAGGGTGAAGCCTTGATATCTCGATTGAAAGATGCTGAAGAAGTTTCACACTTACGTAGTGTATTGAATCAAGTAAGTGGTTCAGTCTTCATTCTCTCTCTGTCTCTCCCTCACCATACTTCTTAACTTTATTGTTTCAGATATTCTATGAGGGAGGTTTTGTATCATATTTGAACCAGATTGTCGTTTGTTCTGTAGTTTTAAGTTTCTCATTCTTGTTGGCATTGACAATCAGTTTTTGGATAGGTTTGTCATGTTTCTTATACGTCGGTGGCACAGTGGTTAGGACTCTCGCCGACCATGCACATGGTCTGGGGTTCAAGTCCACGCCGACGCACACCTTGATATCTATGGTCGGTCTGTGAAGTTTGGGCTACCGATATCCATGCTGAAAATTCCATACTTGTACCAAAAATACGGTGTGGAATAAAGCTGTAATCAAAAATTAAAAAAAAAACAAAAATACTTCACGCCTTGTACTTATGTTATTGAAAAGCGGCTGAAAAATATTGTTTTCACTTTGTAGCAACCTACATTACTAATGCATACAGTCTTTTCCTCTGTGACAGCTTAGATGGTTACATTTAATATCCTATTCTGAACTTTAATCTTTCGGTGGATTCTGTTTGATAATTCATTTGATAAACAGGGACAATTCTAATTGTGAGGTTATCAAATGACATTACTAACTTCTACACTGATGATTAATTACTGAATTTTTCGCTACTTCATAGCAGAGAAGATGTATCCTCCATAGAAGACCCAGTTTCGTGGAGTAAAAACATTTTTGCATTAGGATATCACTTATGCAGTCGTAGTGTAGTGTATCATTAATTCCCTCAGTTCGTGTAGATAGTCATGAGAATGAATTCTGAAATGCTAACACTGTAGTTTATTTTTATTGGTTTCAACCACTGATTTATAAAGTTTAACTCGAATGCTATAAGTAGGCGAGTTTTGTTGGTTTCCCTTACAAATAAGTGTAACCCGTTGTCTAATGTTTCGGCTTACACTCAGTCATCGAGGAATAAAGTAAATCCAGGTTAGACTGTAAATTGCAATTATGATCAGGCAAGTAGAAGGTAAATTACGGAAAGCATAGGATAATTGGTTCAGTCCATTTCACCAGATTGTCTGTAACGTGTATGAATAATTGTTGTGGTGTCTCTCCCAAAATTTTAACTACTTTCAATTTTTTGTTATTTATTTAACAGTTATTCAGAATTCAATTTCTATTTTTTACGAGTTGATCACGGATTGATATCAGTTAGAGAACCATTGAAAACCAGGGAGTACTGGACAGCTGCTGTTTCATCCTAGTTTGGGAATCATTGGCAGTACGCACCCACTGGATTTCGAAAACCAAAACTATAGAAAATTCAATTTCTATGTTATTTTCATGCCCTCATATTATGAGGTGATGTGAAACTTTGCCTCTGATCTTTCCTTGTTGTGTGAGACGTCGAGTTTTCAAGCCATTTATGATGAGAACCATTAGCAATTGATATTGACGCTCCGCGTACATTTTTAGTTTGCCCGATGCAGCGCGTATGAATTACACTGGTTGCATGTGAGACTCCGTTTGCATTACTCTGAACCCTGCGTAAAAAATAAATTATTTAGAACAATAAGGACTGAAGGTTTATATAAATCAAGACATTGTGTATCATTTCACACCGCATTTTGATTATTGTCTTTACAAAAACAAGCTTTTTCACCCCTTACATTTCGAATAATTTACAGTAGAAATATATATATATATATATATATATATATATATATATATATATATATATGTATAGTATTCAATAATATTTTGCTATTTCAGGTGTCTAATGAACGAACAACTGTTTCTACATTACTAACAGAGCGTCAAGTACGCTTAGATCTTTGCTTGCAATTACGATTATTCGAAGCTGATGTTCATTCAGCATTGGATTGTTTACGTCATAGCATTCCATCATTATCTAATTTAAGTCAGTCTACCGATATGAATTCTAATCATCAAAACAATAGTACGAATCGTTACTATTGGCTAGCTGATCCTCGACAAGCACCCGATATGGCATCCATTGAAGAAGTGTTAACGTCTTGTCTGTCAGTTTTACCGACAGCTGAGGAGGTTTTAAATAAGGGTAGCGAATTGGCCAGAGCATTCGAATCGGTTGGTGTTAATTTCCCTGCAGGTTAGATTATTTTATAAGATTTTAAATAACATAATGTTTTAATACTCTTATTTTTACTTGAGCTCTTGTTCGGAAACATCTTGAAGCATCTAGTATTGTAACGTTTTTCATCAATTTGATTTTGTCCTCATTAGTTCTGTATAAGTGTTCATTTGTAACAAAAGATCTTTGAATAGGTTTATGAAGTGGACCGGAAGACGTGGATTACAAAATTTTCAAGAAATGTTTAGCTGAAATTGCAGACACTTCTAAAGACATATTTGTGCTAATAAATCCCACGGTTTCTCAGACTGGTATCACTAAACTGGAATTCTTTCAGCTAGCAAATATCACATCTTAGTCACTACTGTTTCTGAGTCCAAGTATAGAGCTTTGGTCCCACCTACAGTCAAAAGTCTTAGACTCGAAACTCCCGTCGTCTGTTAAGGCTTTATCCGGCAGCAATTTTTGTTTTACAAATTTCTGTGTGGTTGCCTAACTAAATCCTATTTATTTGTTGTCGTCAGTGTAATTCCTTGGGGTGCAGCAGGTCGGGTTTGAGGACAAATACTCGCCGAAGACATTGGCTAAGGGTCGCGCTATTTCGTGAATTAACAGAAGTTAGAATTCATGGGTCATTGGATCGGGTACCAGTGGCTTAATGGTATATGAGCTCGCCTTGTAACCAGAAGGTCCTGGGTTGGAATCCCGGTGGGCGCGTACTGATGACGAGTCCCAAACTAGGACGAAACAGCTATCCATTTCTCCCAGGTTTTCCAGTGGTTCTCTAACTAATGTCAGCTCATGATGAAATCCTGTAATTCCCTAAGGACTCTATTTGACACGATTTGTATGGTTGAAGTACACATCTGTATCACATACATGATTTTTTAATTTCTGTCATCCAATTCACTTATTAGGTGATTTTAACCCTCTTAGTAAGAGCTTCAATCCAATGATTGCATTAACAACGGTATCCGAATACACCTGAAAAAATAAAATATTATTTACAGTTACTCAGCGTCATTGGGATAACTATTCCAGGTTGGGGTTGAAGGCCATTGGAAGCGGAGGGATGGAACACACTTTTTCTGACCACAAAAATTGTGTAGGAAATTTTCTTTGGTGACTGCCTCGCCCTCTACTCAGAAATCGAAGGCATAAATCTTAGGGAATTAGGATGGCAGCTTGCATACAATCCTAAAGGCTGAACTTTTATCAGTCTAGTGATCCGTATCCACAAGAGTTGACATTATAGAACTCTTGATTGACTATACGATTCCTTTACCTAATCACATTGAACACATTGCTCAAAGAGACGATAATGGACTTCCCGAGTCGTTCGACGCAGGTTCGAATCTTAGAAGGGACATAAGTTCCCTCAGAGTTGCAGATTCATCTTGCTGACGAGTGCCAACTAGCACGAAAACTGGGTCCAAGGCTTCCTTCCGATAGCCCGCCGCCATCTTGCATCAACAATTCAGAGTGCACCGAACTACCAAGAATAATGGCCACACTGCAAACTTGACTCACAGAATTCAGTCTGCGCCAAAGAAAGGACTAGACACATCACACATCAGTGTCCTATCAGAGTCATATATATATATATATATATATATATATATATATATATATTTCTTCTGCACAATTTGTTAGCATTTCTTTCTGTCCGTTCTCATTATGGAGACTTGAACAAACTTTTCTGAATATCCGTTCTTGCATAAGTCGTGTTCTGGAATGATCTTAGTGGGAATATTTACACTATTGCGATAGCTGTTTGTGCGTTCCTTAGGATTGATTGTTATCATTGATTCCCACTAGGCTATTGAATGACTTACACATATAATTAGTTATTCAGAAGGATATTATTTAAAGTAAAACTATTTTGTGTGTATGAAAAATTTTGTTTCAGGTGGTCCTGGTTCCAGTGATTCAGGTATGTGTGATAGTGGAGAGACAGCTGTTGAACGAGTTCATCGATTAATGACTGAACTTGCTGATGTCGTTGCATCGGTTGATGTGTTAAATGAACGTTTAAATGGTGAACTTGATTGGCGTCGCCTTCAATTACAAAGTAGACAGGTAAGTATGTAATTGGTGTTGGGAAAAAAGATTGTTATTCTGTCTTTATTGTTTTATTTTAAAAAATTAATTTAAACGGTAATTACTTTTTTAATTTTAATTTTGGGGTTATTTGTTCATTAGGTTTATTGTAATTTATTAGTAAAATGTGATGTTGTACCATTACTACTTAATACTTAAACACACGTCTTATTAATTGTGTCTTAATGTGTTTTGCGCCATTAGTACACATGTGTATGTGTTTCTATGTGTGTGTGTGTGTGTGTGTGACAAGATTAAAAATGGTATTTTGTTTCCTTGTCTATTCTACTAAGTTTTGTCTACATCAATTGAGTTTAGTATTTCTGCACTTAAATGGCTGCGTATTATTACATACACATAACCTTATGTAATAAGATATTTTGTGAAGCCTTTAATTTGTGATGTGTAAACGAGTGTATGTCTGTTTTTTTGGTGTGGACATATGTTTATGCGTGTAGAATGCACAGAGTGTGTTTTATCCTGTTTTACGAATAGATGATTAAGGTAAAATTTGATCTTCGCTTTCATTGTTTTTCATTCCGTATTTATTTTGTGAAAGAAATTAGTCAGGATTAATCAATAATTGTGTATGTGTACTTTGCACCCTAAGCGAAGTCGTAATTGCTTCATTGTCATGAATGAATTAATTTTGAGGCATTAATACTGAATATCATTAAGCTGTTTGTTGCTAATAGCTGTATTAGCATATGACTCATTCTGTTGCATTTTAAGATATCACGATGCCATGTTGTTGCTGTTGTTGAAAAGCCAACTGTCAATTTTTTCTGTTTCATTGGTATCCAGGGTATATCTATGTATCCATGGCATGTGGTTCATGCCAAGTTTTTTCTATACACCCACGACACGTGAAGAGTTTTTAGTATTCATTCAGCATCTCAAATAAATGAAGGGTATAGTTTATCTGATTGACACTTGTTGTTGTTGTTAGTCGTGATGATTACACATTTCATTATTTAAGTAAATTAGTCTCTAGCCGAGTAAAAAGATATATAGTGATGCAGTCGGTATCAGGAAAAAGTACACAGGATGGTGACATAAAATACAATGACTTCTGCATACACTGAGCATCACATGTTTGGCATATGATTCTTTAAAGTTAAAAATGAAATTATGCCACTGGAAACTGGTTTCCGTTGACTACTGTTTTCTTGATAGTTATTGAAATGGTTGAACATCCTGATCACTTCTCTTATTCGGACGCTTGAATCAAATCAAGTGGACTGGCCTCTGGCTAAATCTCAACAGGGATACAAGAGTTTGGTTTGAAATTTGTCAAATTGAACTGTTGTCGCTGCCATATTTAATATTCAGTTAACCATTAGATCTAAACATCGTTCACCAGTTCATGATGTCACTGACTATTGATCAGCATCTTATAAATCTTGGTTGAGGCCTTCGTGACGATGTTAAGATTTAGTAGTTGGAGACTAGTGATAAAGTGCATCACAGTTGTTTACATTGTCGCAGATGTATTTACTGTTTGTCGTCTTCGAGATTCTGGAAATTGTTGCTTATACTTCCATTACTTTTCTTTCTTCTACTTTTTTTGTGCTTTTCTGACGTAGTTTTACTTAAGTCTATGCTCTTTCGTGTCAATTTCTACGTTGATTAGTGTCACAGATAAGTAATAATTAAGATTGAATGCTCTCTATAACCAGAAGTTTCTTTCATGTAAATCCCCATCAAATATGTGGAAGTTATTAAAGGAAATCACAGGTGGTAAGCAAATGTTGAATGATATTTCTGTAGATGTTAACATGCTAAATGAATCCTTCATATGTATCCCAGCAAATGTTATGATTCCTAACTCAAATAGTGTAAACAATGACTGCTTCTCATGCTTTAACACGAATGATGTCCTCAAGTGTCTTCAATCTCTCAAGCCTACTCAGTCCCTCGGTCCTGATGGTGTTCCTGCTGTTATCCTTAAGAGTGTGCCGACATCTTGTGTTCCCCGCTAACTGACATTTTCAACGAATCTTTTTCCAAAAGTATTATACCTGAATCATGGAAAAACATCAAGATCGTTCCAGTGCCTAAATCTACAAGTGGACCTAATGTTAAGTTTAGACCCATTTCAATTACCTCACCCTTTTTGAAAGTTATGGAAAGACTTATTTTACTTAATCTTGATCCCTCTTTAAAACCTTTCAACGACCCCAACCAGTTTGCTTATAAACATAGTAGGAGTACGTTAGATGCCGCTGTCGTCCTCCACCATAGCATAGTCTCTAGTTTAGATAAAGGAGCTAAATATGTTCGCTGTGCCTTCCTTGATTACACATCTGCATTTGACTCTGTTCCCAGGTCTCTCTTGCTAAGTAAGCTTGCTGCAACACAGGCTGAAAGCTGGACAAATAAGTGGTTGCATTCCTATTTTTCTGAAAGGAAGCAGTACACCGTCTACAATGGAAAATCCTCCACTACCTCACTTACTTTAGCTGGTGTTCCTCAAGGTGCTGTTCTTTCTCCCTTTCTGTTCTCGTTTTTCTTACATGACTTGCCTCATTCTGATGTAGCCACTTTTGTTAAATATGCCGATGACCTCTCGGTTTCTATGCCTGTCAACTCTCAGTCAGATTGTTCCAAATTAAATAGCTTTCTGTCGGAAATTAGTCAGTGGTCCTCTTCAAACGGACTTAAGCTTAATCCGTCTAAATGTCAGGTAGTCAATTTCACTTTCAGACGTAAATGTGACCTACAGCAACTAGTTAGCTCACATGGCCCCACTCTCATTGACGACACAGAGGTTGAAAATACATCTTATGTCAAGTACCTTGGGCTGAGTTTTTCCACCGATCTTTCCTGGTCTTCCCACATCTTGCTAGTTACTAGAAAGATGTTTCGCTTAACGTTCTACATTAGGAAATTTAGGCAGTCTGGCATAAACCAGTCTTTACTTTCTCAGTTTGTAAATTCTTGTATTCTACCCATCCTCCTTTACTGCTCCCCATTAGTCTTTCCTGGACTACTTAAGAAAGACTTTGCTTCGCTGAGAAGGGCACTAAAAGCTGTTAGTAGGGCAAGTGGGATATCGTTAAACCAACTGGTGAACACTATTGTAGATAGACATATTATGTCATGTAAGAAACTAGCGAATACAATATTGTCGGACCCCAAGCATCCTCTCTATACGCATCTATCTCCTTGCATTTCATCTGGAAGAACTAGAAGCAGCTATAGGAGGCTATATGCTAGGACTACCAAATACAAAAACTCCACAATACCATATCTGGCACAGCTGTTATGTGATGAGAAATCCGTTAGGTATGACACGATAAACTTACTGCGGCACTCTAACAAATAGTCCCATTAGTTTTTGTTTTCCTTTCCTCGTTACTATCACACTGTTGTTCTCATCTAGTACCACACATCAACTTTATATTTCAAATCCTGTGTTGCATTGTTTGAAATGAAATACTCTACGTTGTTTTTTTTTCTTAATTTTTAATATTTATTTATTTTATTTATTTATAACTAATTTATTTTATTTTTATTTATTTATCTTTGATTTTTAAAAATCTTATATAATTTATGAGGTAATTAGATGCAATATACTGTAATGCACGCTGAAAATTCCATACCTGTACCACAAATACTGTTTGGAATAAAGCTGTTATTATTATTATTATTAAAAGTAGTGGTTCCAGGCGGTGGTTAGATTTAAACATTTAGCATAAATCAAATTATACCACGCTCATACTCCACTGCTTCATGACTTCACTGCATTCGTTTACGAATGTTTTATTTGTATATTGCTTATTTGAATAGTGACAGTGTTAAAAAAAAATAAATAAAATTGTCTTCAAAAATGTTTTACCTGTATTAGTTAATTATCATCAGTAATCGTATTGAGGCAATAATGGCACTGTTTGCGATAAATTTCATCATACTTGGTGTTGCAAGTCACAACACAAACTTTATTCATGTTGGTAATGGTGTCTACGATGTTTAGGAAAGTGATTACGCAGGTTAAGTTTTATCAGCATATATCAATTTGGTGGTTCTTTAGTATTTTACAATATTGTATGCCAACGTATAGCCATTTTCACCGCTATCTGCTGTTCTCCCCATTTTGATTTATTTATGACCGGTTAACGCCAAGTTTTATTCATTTTTGACATGATTTGTGTTAGGGTTCTGAAAAATTCAGTGGTCACTTTTATTACTTCTTATAAAAGATTTGTTTGAAGTGAATTTGTAGTCTAACTTGCATGCCGCTTCATGGGTACAATGCGATGTATATTATTATCTGTCTGTCTGTCTGTCTGTCTCTGTTTTCGACATAGAACTTTGCACAAATGTGCGGAAGTTCAAGTCGCCACACTCCGTGTAGCACGCGAAGCAGTATATTATTATTGTTCCCTTGGGTTCTGAGTTGAGCATACGCCTTCAACAGCACATCTCCACTTTGTCCTGTTTTAACTGTCATCTTCTTTAGCTGGCCCTACGATTTACCATACTCCCTCATCTCCCCCTCACACTACCTACCGCACGTCTGACTCGTCGTTTCCCATTCGCGTCCCACTTGAGCTATGGCGTGTTGCGCAATATCATTCAACGGTCTCCTCAACGTCCGATCCATGTACATTCACTTTGGAATATTTGTTGAGCAATAGGTTCATTGCCAGAGACTCTTGTTGCTAATTCATTCTAACCGTCCATCTGATCTCCAGCATAGGGCAACTGTCGATATAAGTCTGCAACAGGCTGTTGCGAATGCTGTTCGTGACGCCTATATCAAATATCTCACCCACATGCAAGAACTGACTGGCTTAGCATTGGCTTTGAAAATCTGAATCTTGTTGCGGAGTGGAGATTTCCAAACTGTCTACAGAGTGATGAAGGTGGTCTATCTTGCCTCCTCCATGGGGTATGCCTGTAGTTGAAACGACTCTTTCTACATAGGTGAAGGAAGTAACCTCTTTCAAATTCCTCCCCATGACAGGGATTGGTACTATTTGTTGTTGATGGTTGATTGATTATCTCCACCATCTTTTTTTCTGTGTTCACTTGAAGTCCCGTCTTTGGCACCTGCCTCTCCTGCTATTTTCCGCTTGTAAGTCTTTCAGTTTTTATGCAACCTGATGTAGGCGTCCAATGTCTATATGTGTAATAAGAGGTAATAAGCTTTATGAAGAAGAGTTCTATTAGGTGAATATAACAATTTTCTATTTTCTATTGATGCTTTACTACATTGAGTCTCACGGGATCACGTAATTCATTTTATATCAGTTCCAACCATAAGTGTATGTGTTACAAGTCGTCCAGGGTAGCGAGCGGAAATTGTAGCGTTGGTTTTCAGCCAGTAGATAGACTGAATATCACAAGCATACGGCCACAGACTGTAGGAGATGAACGATAGAGGTTTCACACTGAATGAAATTCATGATCTACACTGTTGCCGGTTAATTTACAATCAGCTGCCGGAATCTATAAAATCAGTACTTGCTACAGCATTGTGATAGGATTACTGTTCTCTTGTGATATATGTGAGTTTTTTTTAGTATGCTAATATGAGTCTCAGTTGTCTAACAAAAAAAATTGGCTTTCATTTAATAAACAAACACAGTTAAATAGTTAGTTGTAAATAACAAACCTTTAAAGTATATTCATGAGTATTGGTTTGTGTAGTATTCACAGTCACTTTTTGTTACCTCATATGAAAATGCTACCTATTAAGTTACCACTCGTAGAGAGAAAGAGACATGTTTAACTTGATTGATTAATATGCCTACTTCGATTGTATGTGCGCCTGCCATCCATCGTATATCTATATACAGTCTTCATTTTTATTAGGACATAGTAATGTGTTGTACAATACTTGTGTTAATTTTTATTTCGTCGATAATTTGTGTATTCATGACTGTTTTGTGTCAGTATTAGCAGACATGATTTATTTTTCAAAATGCTATATGTGTTTAATGTGATTCCAAACAAATATTGGTCAGTATATGAATTTCTTTGGACAGATTTCTCAATCTATGGATATATTATACATACCAAACATTATGACACATGAAAAGATGGTAATAAAATTTAAACAGAGATATTGAAGTGAGCAAGACCTATTTGAATTGATAGTTTCACAAAAAGTAGGTACCGAGTATGGTTGGTTATTAGGTTACTAAGCAATGGAAAATTAGAAATACATACTTCATTACCTGGAGTTCTTGTGAGATGTTGCCACTGGTGGAGTCCATCAAGTCAGCCTATTACACTGACTGGCATGTATCCTAAATTGCCAGAAGTCGGAGTTCGTGGGCCGTTGGATCTACCAGCTCGTCTTGCACCTGGAAGGGCCGAACTTAACTGGTTGCGTGCTGCTGTGAAGGGTAGCAGACTGGGGGCGAAACAGCTGTCGGCACTTTATACATTTCAGTATCATCGAGACTGTAAACATATGAGGATACGAATAAATAAGTTGTTGTCAATGTTGGCGAATTTTGAAAAAAGAGAAATTTTGAATATGAATATTGTTAATGTTCGGTTTGTGTCATACAGCATTTGGAAAAAATGCAGCAGCTCACATAATATTGTCGTAAGGGAATTTACTTTCACTTACAACTGTTCATTTAATCCGAACATTTTTACTTGTGTATTCCATCAAAAATGAGTAGTTTTTACAAAATATTAAGGCGTTCGATCTTCTTTTGTCATTCGTTAATTGATAAGATCTGTGTCAGTATCTACCTTCGGTTTCAATCAATATGTAAGCAAGGATGATTTATTCGGTTAACTGAGTGAACCTAATTAAGTTCTACTGACAGTTGTCTTAATGTGGAGTTATTCTATCGTTAAAGCAAGGATTGGGAAAGCAAGACAAGCTTTCATTACTCTCAAGTCTGTGTGGAGGTCAACATCACTCAGCATCAAAAATAAAATCCGGATTTTCAACTCCAATGTGAATTCAGTGCTACTTTATGGATTAGAGACTTGGCTCGTCATGAAGAGCACCTCCATCAACAGTTGTCTTCGCTCAATACTCAGATCAGATGGCCGGCTAGGAAAGATCAGCAACAGGGATCTCTGGCAATGAGCGAACCAACTCAGCAGGAACCGATTGTGAAACAAATAGGCAGGAAGAAGTGGAGATGGATTGGCTGGCCATACTCAGAGGAAACCATCAAGTGATATCACTTGACAAGCCATTGCTCGAGTGGAACCCGAAAGGAAAGCGGGTGGCGAGTTTGTCGTCAGTGCAAGGGTGACTTGGAGGAGGTCATATGAAGAGGAGATGAAAGCGCGTGGGCAGACTTGGACCGGGTTGAAAAAGTTGGCAGAGAACCGAACGCAATGGAGACACTGGGCTGAAGCCCTATGTTCCTCTGGAAATTAAAGGAAATAATAATAAATATTGTATCGTTATCACTTACACGGATGCACTTCAAACCTATTTCATATTTATATTCGGTGTACACTTTCATTATTGGTATATTCAACGTAACTGTGTTTTGACAACATTGTAGGTGTTACATTGGATAGGTCAATGTGAGGGGATTCTACATCAAACTGCTGTAATTCCAGCCAGTCTAGCAGAGGCGGAAACACTTTATGCAGATCATGAAAAATTTCAGCCAGTTTTGAATGATGCTCATCCACAAGCCGTACAATGTGCTGCACGTGCCAGTTACTTTTTACAACAAACAGCAACAAGTAATCCATCAGGTCATACAACAAGTTCTGCAAATAATGAACATCCGAGGAGAAAAGATTATCAGTCCGTTGCTGAAACGGTCGCCAATCGTTGGCAGAAACTTGTCTATGCTGCAGAAGAACGTCATAAGCTGTTGATATCTGCAACCAATTGGTAAGATTATTTGAATTTCTTTTAAACGTCTTTATGAGATAAATAAAGAAATTTAGTTAGTGGAAAGTCATGAGCTGTAGATTTAATGTTTTGCTGATACTACTCATGTGAGTTTTTGAGAGTACCATGCACCTGCGTTAACATACACTTTTTTTACTGAGTAAACAAAGTGTTTTTGTGCTTATCGATTTGAGCAGAAGAAGTTGGCCTTGGTGTAGAAATTAAAGATTTCGCTAGAGTATGGTTTCAACCCAAGTTTTCCTCCTCTTTTTGCATTACTCAGTGAAACACTTATTTGGTTATCGTAACCACAAGCAGTACAATTGAGAATGCCGTATTACCTTACGAAGGCTATTTGGTCAGTGACATTGTTTCACTATGTTACGTGTGTGTCACCAGGATTGTTCTCTTTGTTATTAAGCATTTAGCAGCTGCGGATTGTTAACCTGTCGAAAATCTGTAACTTTTCCACAGAAAACTGTTGATGAGGTTTCTAGTGGTCAAAATAAAATGTATTGCAGTTTAAGCTTATAGACTGAAATAGTCCAGATAATGTGTAGCTCAAGTGGTTGTTTTTTGTTGTTGCGTGTGTTCGCTGAGCTGAGTGACGCAGTTGCGACGCTTTCATTGTCTCTCTAGACACAACATCTTCGGTGCTTACTTAAATGTGCATCGGTGGCATAGTGGTTAGGACTCTCGCTGACCATGCACATGGTCCGAGGTTCTATCCCCTGCCGACGCACACCTGATATCTATGGTCTGCCTGCAAAATTTGGGCTACCAATATCATATGCTGAAAATTCCATACATGTACCGAAAATACGGTGTGGAATCAAGCTGTTATCAAAAAAAAAATTGGTGGAATTCATGTGATGAGATACAACGCTGCACAGGGGGTATTATATTTATATCTCTCCGTTAAATATATCATTGCTACAGTGTTTTAGAAATGAGACTAGTACAAGTGTTTTTTAGGCTGACGTTCATTTTGAAGTCAGTTAATTGATGGTGACTAGTAGTAGAATCCAGGATTCACATTTCATCCTATTCGGGCCTCTTCATCTGATAGTACCCTAGTGAGTGATGGTGTTCCCATCGAGGCTTGAACTCTGTGCCCATAGTTCCAAACGCCAAAGCGCTATCCACTAAACCACTTGGGCCATGACAACCACCTCTTGTGCTACAGGTCTAATAAGACCTGTAGATCAATAGATTACTCAAGTCATTCATTTTTTTTCTATTTGTTACGTGTGTGTGTGGTCTGGATAAGGTACATTATAAACTATTTAGTTTTACTTCGCTTTTCAAGAAAACATTAGTTGTACATGTGTTTATTGGCTATTATAATAATAATAGCTATTATTATTATTACTATTAATAATAATAAGAAGAAAGGAACACTTCGATTTTACGCTTGGTTATTTTCTCAAATTGAATTTGTTGTTGAAAAGTTATTTCTGTCATTGTTGTCATGGTGTGATGATATTTCTCTTTTGTGCACGAGCTCTACTCTTTTTTTGTTTCTCCACAAAATTCATACTTTAGTTTTTTGCCTGGATTAGAATTACCTAAAGTTGTCTTATTATGTTCTCAAATCTAATGTGAAGTTTAAAAGTAAATCGTTGGGCTGTTGTGTGTGTTTTTCTGTTTTTGTGTGTATGTGTGACTTCCTCTTGTTAGCTGAGAAGTTAACATCATCAGTAAGTCTTATTTTTTCTTAAGAAATAAAACCTTGAGCAATTCTTCTTTCTCTCATACATTTCTGAACTAATTTAACGTCACTATATAGTTGGAAATGACGTCAGATGATTAATTGATTGTGCGTCAATTTTGTTAGTTAGTCCAAATTCCCTGTTATTTCCGTGATCAATGAGTATTTATGCTATAATTAGAATTCACGTGTGTGTGTGTCACCGTCGCTAAATATATTATGTGTTAGAATTTCAGAATGCAGCGAGTCATTTTTTTTCTACCGTCGATTGGTTTATTTCCGACCGACTTCCTTTATACGATTATTGTGTGTGTGCATGACCTACTAATGAAGATTCAGTTTAGGTGTGCTGGTCTGTCTAGGGCAGCTGAACAACTCTGATTCCAAACCTATGGTGTACATGGGCTCCAAAATCCGACAGGATCGAATGGTGTGCATGAACCTGTTTCGATCGCTGGCAACCATGCGAAAAAGCAGCTCCACTGCATTGTGAATCACGATTTAAGTCAGAGGCTTGGAGGGCGGCCACTTAAGGTAACCGCTTACTTCGGTTGGGGGTATCTGGGCAGTATTTCAACCGTCGCACAAAGTATGCGATTTTGTGTAGCTAATCTCTTGGTGGGGATAATATACCAAGTCTGTGTTTTTATTAATAATAATATAAATACACGGATGGATCTACTGTCGTGTAATGGAACTGCCACGTGGTTATGAGTGTGAATTGTGAGGTGACTCGAATAAGTGGTGTGTATGTTTACTCCATTTTCACTTCAATATGTACTGTAATCTGGAATGGAAGTAAACATTGAAAGAAATATAGAGAGAGGATCAGTATATTAACTCATGGAATGATGAACAGATCTTATTTATCTGGTTTTTCATTTATAAAATAACCGATACAATTGGTTGGAATTTGTACATAATTTTGTCTTTATTTGTATTATTTACTTATTATGAAGATCTACAACTTTAGCTCGCATTATTTGCACTAACTTCACTTTCATTTCACATGATTTCGTACTAGTTGGCACTCACCAGTTAGCGAGGCGTATCTGTAGTCTTGAAGGGACTCATGTCCCTCCTGAGAATCGAACTCATGTCACCCAGTGCTGTAGTCAACAACGTTACCACTGAGTTATTCGGGCTAGCGATTGACCTCCCTTAGGATTGTTAGATACTTTGATTGGGCACTAGTTAGTAACTAGTATCATACGTTTAGTCCTTTATTTGGTGAACACTGACTGTGGCACTGGGTGACACGGGTGCGAATCTCAAGAGGGACGTGAGTAATTCCTTCAAAGTTGCCTCCAATCACCCAATAACAACAATTCAAAGTGCATTGTGAATTCAAGCCACGTGGTGTGGTGGGCACATTGCAAACTTGACTGAAAGAATTCAGTCTGCAGTGAACTGTGGACTAGATACATGATACTAGTTAGTGACTATTATCCATTCAAAGTACATGGTGTGTGTATATATGTAGTACTGTGAATTAAATGATTAGACAGCAATTCTATGTTGATAGTGTCTGATAAATACCTGTTTACTTATATATGTGATTGAAATTACTGTGTTTAAGCTAATCAACTCTCCATCAGATGAGAATTTATCTTACGCGTTCATTTGTATTGAAAAAGTAAGTTGGAAAGGTGTCAATGTCACAGTTTTTCTCTATCTCTTTTCATATAGTATTACTAATTCAATTGGGTATAGATGAGTTGTACTTCTCATGTGTGTACACTCGTTTTAAGACAGATTTACAACATAATACCTCTTAGTTGTTTGAAGTGTGAATAAAGTTGTTAAAACTCCGCAGTAGTGTTGTTCAGACTGGAAATACTGGAGAAATTTAGTAATATGAAGAGTACAAGCTTCACAGTAAAATCTGCTGAGGATTTTGTGTCGTATACAAAAGTTTTGTTTTGAGGAAGACAGCTATTAGCATAATATTTAGTAGTTATTCTTAATAATGATCATAATTAATAAGTAGTCATAATATCGTTTCTGAAAATATGATCGCTATATTTTCTTTCTGTTTATTTTTACGGGTATTATCTAAGACCTTTATCTTTTGATGTGCTTCTTGTACTTCCATGGGTTTGAAGATTTGTGTATGTGTGTGTGCGTTTCGTGATTTTGTTTATCTTATTATTGTTGTTGTTGCAGTTTATGTTGTAAATAAAAATATTCAAAAGAGACCATAAATTTTGGTTTCCTTTGATAATAATAATAATAACTGGACTCCAGTGTTATTCATAGTGTTGTTACCGGATAAATTTGTTTATTTACACTATTAATAATCTGGACAGTTTGTGTAGTGTAAACAAATGTTAGTTTTTAATAATTGGCCTCCATCGTAAACTTTTTGTGGAAAAAGAATCATTTAGTAAAAATAGACCTGATTTTGGTTGTAGTGCGACGTATACACGAAACCGGAGTTGTATTAATAATAAGTAGTGTAGTAAAAAAAATATGCATTAATAAAATCCTCATCTGTCATATGCAAGTCCGGGTTCCTTGGCCTGTAAGTGAGCTCAGGAAAGAGTGGAGGTTGCGCATAAGACCTGCAACCTCACCTTTACTGCAACTTTAAAGCGTGTAGCTTTATGTTCCTTTCGGAGTGCAAGGAATGAGAGTAAATTAGCGTAACGCGTTAAGGATTTAATGCCGAACAGGATTAACCTGCTTAAATTTACAGTTACCGAAATATTGTGTTCTATATGAACGCACAGTTGTCCACTTTAAATTAAACAAGACTAAAATTCTGGAAATGGAAGAAAGTCTCAAAACGAAATAATTCTTAACGCGTTTACAGTGTAATTACGATCACGAACTGCAATGCCATGTAAAACATTGTGCATAGCGGTGGCATAGTGGTTAGGATGCTCGCCGATCATGCACACGGTCTAGGGTTCGATCCCCGGCAGTACCAATGGCTGGTCTGCTAAATTTGGGCTACCGATATCACATGCTGAAAATTCCATACTTGCATGAAAAATATTGTATGGAGTCAAGCTACAATAAAAAAGTAAATATATATGTATATATGCTCAGTGTTTTGCATGCCGTTGCAGTTTGTGATTGAAGTTTCGAGAAAGGCTATATCTGCAAGCAGAATAATCTTCAATATGTGTAAAACTTGGGCACTGTGGTAGTATATAATTCCATAGATGTTAGTATGTTTATCAGATGTATCACACAGTGGAACAGTATTATTTACTGGATGATGTTTCGAACAAGATTTATTACTGTTCATAATCACAACAATTGTAATCACTCGACTTTGAAACTTGAGTTTCATAGTTTTCTTTGTTCTCTCCTATTCGTCATAGGGGTAGTAGAATTTCCCAGACGTCTGAAACAGGCGTTAAATCATTCCTATTACACGTATTCTCTTCGGTTGATTCGATAAACAACGCTTCTGTTATCAATCTCTCCCTATACCCTGTAACATTAGATTTTAAAACTGTCATCCTATCCCATCCAGCTTATCGTATGGTTGCGTGTAATTGCATCCTAACGAACATAGTCTCTAAAATCCTAGGCTCAGTAATCATGCGTAGACTAAGCAGAACTCGGGAGGAACAGACAAGGGAAGATCAAGGAGGCTTTAGACCAGGTAGAGGGTGCATAGATCATATCTTCACTCTTCGACAGATTCTAGAACATAGACACACTTTTCAGCGTCCAACAATTGTCATATTTCTTGACTTGAAGGCGGCCTTTGACTCCGTGGATCGAAAGGTACTATGGCAATGTCTGACTGTGAAGGGAGTGCCAAGAAAATACATTGCACTAATCAAGGCACTCTATTCAAACTCACGTAGTCGTGTAAGGGCTTATGGGGAATTGTCATCTGAATTGGTAACAACCAGTGGTGTCCGACAGGGATGTCCACTTTCCCCATTTCTGTTTAACTTCATCATAGATATGCTAATGGAAGTATCCTTAACTGAACGTAGTGACTTACGAATCGACTTGTTACCAGGGAATAATCTTATGGACTTAGAATATGCAGATGACATAGTCCTGTTAGGGGAGGATGCTGACAAAATGCAGAGTCTTCTGAACACCTTGAGCAGCAATCTTCGTATGTTTGGCATGCGATTCGCCCCTACAAAATGTAAGATGCTGCTACAGGACTGGACCACGTCAACTCCTAACTTAGTGATAGGGAGTGAAGTGATAGAACATGTTGACCACTTCACCTATTTGGGAAGTTGTATTAGCACCAACGGACTGATTGGCGATGAAATCTCAGCACGGATCCGAAAAGCTCGAGCTGCTTTCTCTGACTTACACCATCTCTGGCGTAGGCGTGACATCCGGTTATCAACCAAGGGACGTGTGTACTGCTCATCAGTTCGCTCCGTCCTTCTCTATGGCTCTGAAACATGGCCAATACGCGTTGAAGACATGAAAAGGTTGACTGCTTTCGATCATAGATGTCTGCGATCTCTGTCTCACGTTAGGTGGTTTCACAAGATAAGTAATGTTGACGTTAGGCGTAGAGTGTTGGGCAAAGAGGGAAAATCAATCGACGAGGCTATAAAGTTACATAGACTAAGATGGCTAGGTCACGTGCTGCGCATGCCTAACCACCGCCTCCCCCGACGGGCTTTGCTAGCTGATATAGGTTCAGGTTGGAAAAGAGCCAGTGGTGGCCAAACAAAAACATGGCATCAATCCATGAAATCCTTGACAGTTAAACTGAGTCAGGTAGGGAGATGCAGACTTCCGGGTTGGGGCCCTCGGGACTCTAGGAATCAATGGCTGGAGACAATAGGTGACATGGCTCAAAATCGTTGTCAATGGCGCAGATGTATTCAGTCTCTGTAATCTTTCACATTCCTTTCTACCATTACCCATTCTGTTTCACTCTTATACTTGTCAAACTCTTCACTCATCTTCTTGTCTACCTCTGTGTGCTATTTGGAACGTGGCAACTCGAACTGCTGCACTTCGGTGCCAAGTTCTATGTTGAATCCAGACAGACAGAGACAGTGTAATTGCATGTAGTGCTACAGCTAAACTATTCTCCAGATTTCTTGTGCTATAAGGGTTAAGTAATCTCGATCTTTCTAGGTTTTTGTGCTTTTCTGATCCTGTTATACCACTTTGATTTGACAATTATTTCGGGGTATTAGATAAACTAAATTGTTTTGATTATAATAAAGGTTTTTTTCATACTTCCCAATGAATGAAAAACAAAACAATATTGTTTTTACTGACGTTTCGCTATTTAATTCTGCTAATAGCTTTCTCAAAGTAATAGTAACTATTTTACTACTATTATTAAATTGTTTTGTTTAATTGGCTCTATGGGATCCGTTACCTGACACATAGCTTGTTGCTAATTCAGTTTGTGGGTGGTTTGAATGCCACTTTTATTCCCTGCAGTGTTGAGGATTGATTCTACGTGAGGTTCCCGTGGTTCCTTCTTTGTATGGAAGTACTACTGATGATATAAATTCTTAACTGTTGGGTTTGTCATGCATTCCGTCACTATTATTATTATTATTTTTATATATACACTTTCCTACATACTTCCTGATTAATTTATCAGGGTTATTTTTAATTAACTGAATATATATATATATATATATATATATATATATATATATATATATATATATATTAAGTGTTGCATAAATGTTTTAGGGCTTAGCTAAAATGCTTGAAGTTGTTTCTTTGTCCTGCCTATTACTATAGTTTCTATCGCATGGCATCTGCTGTCAATTGTTATATTTCTGGTATATTATTTCTATATTTTATGCCTTACAGGTATCGAACATCAGATCAAGTAACTTCAGTTTTATGGTCTTTAGAGAAAGAATATCGTAGAGAAGAAGATTGGTGTCAAAATGAAAAGGCTGTTAGCAGTGGAGATCCAGCTAATTACCTAGCTCAGTTATCATCTAAACATGCTGAACAAAAAGAAGCATTCCTCAAGGCTTGTATGCTAGCCAGGTGAGAGAGAGAACAAATTAGTCTATTCGTCTCCTCCGTTTGACTGCTTCAGTATTCAGTAGTAGTAGTAGTAGTAGTGCTTATTATTTACTTACTTACTCACACCATGGGAATTTTTTTCTTTTCTGCAATGATATAAGTCATAAATCTGGATTATAAATACTGGAGAGGAGATATCGGTCATGATTAGCAATAAAAATTGATGTATTTAATGTCCTGATACTTGATACCAAGTAATCAAATGGATAAAAAAAAATCACGTCAACTAAATGGTATCATTTGCATCAAGTCCAAAAAAGGTGAGCGCATAACCGAAAAGAAGGAAACACTAATACAACCTAACAGCCTAACATCCACAGAGTTCAGTTAGTCCTAGCGCATATTCATGTTGCTCTCTGTAGTGAGCACTTATAAACTTACTAGTTATCGTAATTAAGGAGGAAAAATAAATTAGTTGTTAGATTCGAAGTGTTATTGTTTTTCTTGCCCCAACTTCATCGACTTTGAAAACGTCTTCGGCAACAACAATATGGCGTGTCCAAAATTCTCCATCAACTTCACATATGAGAATGCCACCTGTTACAACGGAAAAAAGTCAATACAGCCCGTGAGATGAAGACAGGAGTAAGATAAGACTTTCTACCTACTCTATCACTGATGATATTGCTAATTGTGGTGAACCGGATTATGCGTTAGACTGTAGGGAGCGAGAAGACAGGAGCATGTTGGACCAAAAGTTCTGGGTTTCGGGGATAATTTATGTCTAGTGTCACACAAACTCGGAGGCTTACAGGCGAAAACCATCAAGTTCACTGGAGAAGAAGAAGAAGAGAAAACAGGACTTCAAGCGAACATAGGGAAGACAGATGTGATGAAGATAACCAAACAACAACAGCAAGCACCATTCATTATGATCAGAAGAAACTTGGAAGAGACTACTTGCTTCACTTATCAAGGAAGCATCGTTTTGACTACAGGGGGAATGGATGAAAAATGTCCAAGCCAGAATTGGAAAGGCAAGTTGGACCTTCATCAACCTTAAATCAGTTTGGAAATCTGCACTCAGCGCAAAGAACAAAATTGGGACTGTTAACACCGATGTTAAGTCGGCCATTTCTTGCATACAGGTCGAAAACTTGGAGTTGGCGTTACGAAAAGCATTTTCAGTGGGTTACTGCAGACTTTTATCAACAGTTGCCTCCTCTGGTTACATATTGTAGATCAAATAGCTGCCCAAAAGGAATGAGCAACAAGAAACTTTGGGAATGAACCAACAAGCAAGAGCCTATCGCTGAACGAACACACATGTTGGGTGTCTCCGCACGCCAAGCCATCGGTCGGTCGAGACCTGAATGGAAAACGACGAGTTGGGTGTGTGGCTGAGGGTGACATTAAGGAGATAGGAGTCTGTGGGCAATCGTGGGGCCAGGTATTGACTATCTCAGGGAATAGGAAAAAGTAGGGATGTGCTGTTGAGGTCCTATGTTTCGCTTGGAACCCAAAGGAACAATAACCATGTGTGATAATTGAGGTCCTTTGTGCTCATTATAGAAATTAGAAAGAATCATCTTCATGTGGAACAGATATTATAGAAAAAATCTTGTGTAGAAAGCATAAGGAAGCTGAGAGAGCTCAGGAAAAAGAGACAATGCATCCATTTGTTAAAAAGTAACTAGTTTTTATATACCACAAGTATGAAAGGTGGACACAATATCATCGTTATTGGATGATATACAGCGAAGTTACATTTTAGTAATTGATTTCTAGGTTAGTCTGGCACCCGTCTGTGATTGATTTAGACATGAGATACGAATCAATGTGTACATAGTTTTTTTGGTTTTTACGATTATAAATTCTTTAACTTCAAAAGTTGTGGTTCAGTTTTTTTTCTATATTATCGTTCTTGTTAGGTTTCACGCATTATTCTTTTCAACATATTACAATCTTTTCTTTTATTTAAGGCGTACTTCAGATTTGTTTAGCAAGTATTTACATCGTCAACCCGCTAGCACTACTGGTCGTGCTGAGGTTGAAGAGAAGATTCGTGTGGCTATGACAGAATTAATGGCTAAAGAAAAAGCTGTTCTAGAAGCATGGGCAGTTCGACGCAGACGACTTGATGATTGTACTTATTTCATGAATCTCAAGGTACATTGTGTTAAATAGAAGAGTTTTTTCGATGGCGTACCTCTACTAAATGCTTTTGTATATTATTAGAATTCCTTATTTACAGAGAATTTTAAGGCAATCAACAGTCGGAAAAATTCTGCTTTCAATTTTGTTAGGATTTCTTAGATGTGCTCTAGTTGTGTGAGACAGCGTAGTTTCTGAATCGCGTAACTAGGAGTTATTTTTGTTGTAGCAGCATGTTATTAGAAATAGCGGTTGTGAAATCTTTGTTTATATGTGAGATTCATTTAACTAATGCAATTACTTTTAAGTTGGAATTTATTTTCCATGAGGATTCAGTGAAAGTTTTCTTCCAACAGTTCATTTTCTTTTGATTTCTATGTGCATAATGATGAACTGTACTTATATGTTTTGTTGTATAATTACACTTACAGCGTCAAATCGAAGATCTTCTCGAACGTGTACATAATGTTCAGGAGTCTACTGGAAATAAACCGTCTGGTTTTCCTGCTCCAGTTAGCCTTTCACATATTAATCCTTCACTATTGCAAGAGGTGTATAGAGCTTGTGCAAGCTTAGAGTCAATGATAGCTTCATCATCTCCTTTATCTCCTGGTCATACAACACAAATGGAAGCATTATTACAACGTCTTCGTCTTTGTGAATCACAATCGGTTACAGGATCAACTGCTGCATCCAATGCTGGTGCTGTTGGTAAAGTTAACAAGGATTCACAAAAGCCGGATCATCATGCTACTGAATCCAGGAAGAGTTCTGCTCCGTCGTCTAAACCTGATGTTCAAGCTAGACCTAAAACCCTTGAAGTTGAAGCAGATAGGTTAGTCGTGATATTAGAATATATTTGTTTAATGTTAGCTCTATTTGTGTTCAGGTAATACAGTTGATTAAACTGTGTAGTTATTTATACGTTTGAAATTCACTTATTGATAGGCATTTGAAGTGTTATTCAATTTTCTACTACTTGTTCTTGGTACCGGAGATTGTAGTTTATTGCTAACCCCCGGTATACATTTCACATTTGCATCACACAAATATGTTTAGACATATTTCTAACCTCATGCTTTCGCATATCTGATTTTCACAGGACATCGGTTTCAAGTACAAGTAGCTCTGGTACAGGCGGTAGTACAAGTGCAAGTATCACTAATGATTCATATTTAGTAGCGTCAGCAGCTGCTGCTTCAGGTACAACACAAGAACAACGCAGATTAGCACGTCGGCGAGAGAATCTACTGCGTGAATTAATTCAAACTGAAAGACTTTATGTACAATCTTTAGAACAATGTATGGAGACCTACCGCAAGGGTTTACTTTCTCCGCCTAAAATGTTGGCTGCTCAGGTGAACTATACAAATTATTTTTCCCGGTTTATTGTTGCAGAGTTTGCACAGTTTCTTGTTATTTTTAAGGAAAAAAATTTAGTCACCTCATTTCATTTCAACAAGCAATCTCACACAGTTTTTGTACAATATTTGCACCACATAATATATAATGAGATAACAAGATACGGAAAATAAAAAGTAACATGGTTGAGAAATAAGGGAATATAAAGGGGTAAACAAGCTCACCATGTCCATTGAATGGAACATTCGTCAGTATTCTATTCACCATATATATTTAGATGGTCGGTCATGATATCTTATGAAGTTTCGACCTACTGAGTCACCTGATTTTTCAGACCTTTCCCAGAGATGAATTTGTGATACACCAGCGATTATTAGATCAACACAATTACCATTGATTCCACTATGTAATTTTACAGACTGAATGACTGATTTCTGCAATCACTTGCAAGGTTGTGAAATATTAAACACCTATGGAAGAGTCTTTCAGGATGATGTCATTCTTAATTTCACCGAAGTTAGCATTAACGTCATTTGTTTTGAGATGATCTCCATTATATTTCCAAACACGCGCCGCTGGACGTTAGAACTACTTACATTCTGATGCCATCGGATATGTAAACAGTAGGGTGGAGACAGTGATTGTCCAAAGAACGATAATTTCTACCCGGTGAATATAAAGAATCAAAAATTCATAAGGCTGAATGTGGGTAACAAATAATATATAATAATAATTTTGATTTTATTCCAGAACCAGTACTAGTGGTACAGTGTGGAATTTTCAGCACATATCTAAAATATTGCATCTAATTTCATCGGATATTTAAAACGAGTATTTCAAAAAAAAATATGTATAAAAAAACAACAAAAACCAAAAAGAAACACAAAAATAACAAAAAAAATGCAAATAAAAATACCAAATAGAAAGGAAGATAAACACCAATAATGAAAAAATATTTCAGTATTTGCTAGTGGAAGCTATGATATGTGTATGCGTGGTGAACAGTAACAGCTATAATCATACAAGAAGTTATGAAATGTTCTTAAGAATGTTTATAGCCAAGATAATCAGTTAATTTGATTGAACTACACTAAACAATCATAAAATAAAAATTTCAGGTTTTTTTTTTATTGTCAGCACTAATGCAGTGTTTGTTGTGGTAGTGTGAGTAATCCTGTATAATACAAAAGTTTTAAGATGGTGATAACGGCGTTCACAACCAAGATTGTCAGTTTAATATTGCTGAACAAAAAAACAATCACAAAACTAATATTACATGATGGTTAATGACAGGACAATTTTGTAATACTCATAGTGATAATATAGTCGGACCCAGTAGATACACAAAAGAAGGAATAGAATAAAGAATAAAAAAGTTAGCTAATGATAAACAGTTTAAGTAGCTAAGCATGTTTAAGAAGGTTGTTCACTATAGAGTACAAATAAGAGAATATAAAGGGGAAATAACAAGGGCCAAAATTATGTTATTAACAACAAAGCAAGTCATAGGTTTCACGCTTAACATTGTCTCTGTCACTTAGAACACGGGCCAAATATGGTATCGTTGAGTTCCTATACTTGGTTGTACGAGCATATATTATTTTATACTGATTTCTGGTTCTACCTGATGAGATGCAAGGAGAGAGTTGGGAATAGAGGGGGTGTTAGGGGTCGGAGAGTATGGTTTTAGTCCATTTCTCGCATGTATTCAGATGCTTATCCACTAATGTAGTGACGAGCTGACTGAGTTTTACACCGCTAGTCCTACTAACTACCTTCAACATCCTTCTCAGGATGGTATAGTCCTTTTTCAGTAACCCAGGAAAGACTAACGGGGAGCAGTAAAGTAGAATAGGTAGGATACGAGAGTTGACAAATTGTGAAAGCAGAGGTTGAGTGACTCCAGTTAGTCTGAGTTTCTTAATGTAGTAGGTTAGACGAAACACTTTCTTGGAAATCATTTGGATATGAGATGACCAAGTAAGGTCGGAAGATAGAACTAATCCGAGGTATTTTGCATTAGACTTTGTTTCAATTTTAGTCCCCTCAATGCTACAGCATCATGAGTGCTTACTAGTGTTTGTAGATCTCGTTTATGCCTAAAGGAGAAGTCGATAGTCTGGCATTTTGAGGGATTCAGCCTGAGGCCATTTAGTTTAGACCACTGACTGATGTCCGACAGGAAGCTATTTAATTTGAAGCAGTCTGACTGAGACTTAACGGGAAGCGAAACAGTCAGGTCATCTGCATATTTGACGAAGTTGATTTCGTCTGAGAGAGGTAAGTCATGTAAGAAGAAGGAAAAGAGAAACGGAGAGAGAACAGCACCCTGAGGAACACCAGCTTCAGTAAGCAAAGGAGAGGAAGCTACACCATTATATACCGTGTACTGCATCCTATTGGAGAAGTAAGAGTGCAGCCAGTTGATAGCCCAGGACTCAGTTTGTGTAAGGCTAAGCTTGTTTAACAAAAGGCCTCTAGGTACAGAGTCGAAAGCAGATGTGTAATCAAGGAAAGTACAACGGACATACTTGGCCCCTTTGTCTAAGGAGGATACAATGTTGTGATGAAACACAGCAGCAGCATCCAAAGTACTTCTACCCTGTTTGTAAGCAAACTGCTTTGGATCATTTGAGAAGCTTAGGGAGGGAACAAGTTTTTGCAGAAATAATTTCTCCATTAGTTTCAAAAAAGGAGAGGTAATGGCAATTGGTCTAAACTTAACACTATTTCCAGAACCAGACTTGGGTACAGGGATGATTTTAATATCTTTCCACAGAGAAGGTACAACATTATTAGAAAAAGAAGTATTGAAAATGCTTGTAAGTGGGTTACTTAAAATATCAGCACATTTCTTTAGAACAATGGCAGGTATACCATCAGGGCCTAGACTCTGGGAAGGTTTAAGAGATTTCAAACATTTAAGAACATCAGAAGTATTGAAACTATGAAAGTCACTGGTCGTGTTATTAGTTAAATTGAAGGCAAAAGGGACAGGGCGGATAAAAGATCTATTGAGAGTATTTACATCAATAGAAGAGGCACAATTATTATGCTTACCACAACCAGTAATTTCTCTAAAAAGCTTCCATATGTTTTCTGAAGTTTTACAAGACAGTATTGTTTGATTATAAATGTTGTTTAGTCTCTTGATTTCAGATTTAATTTGGATGTTTATCCTCCTAAGACCAGATTTATTCTTTGTCTTGTACAGCTTCTCTTTTTCTCTTCGAAGCTTTTTGAGATGAGGGGAAGAGAAACGATCCATTCTTTTGAAAAGTATCTGTTTTGGACAGCATATATCAAGGCAGAATTTAAGATATCCATCACATAAGGGGTGAGTGTTGTGACTCACTATTGGGGGACTATATATGGTTAATCCATCGTGTCCTACAATCCATCTGCACCATTTTGAACGGCTTGACCACAATTCTCCCCAATTGACGATAGATATGCAGCCTACTTCCCTTCAAGTGGTTCATGCTGGCAGTCAGTCATTTACTTCATAGAGCCACGTCATATTTCAATATGATCGATCAATACAGTTATTTTTTACTTCTTAATCCCTACCTCAGCCAACAATGTTGATCGGGGATGGTGGTGGCTTCGTATGTTGTTTTTTCCAGCTCTCCTCAACAATGGAAACATTTCATGTAAATCTACCGTATTTAGGTTGTTCGTGAACTAACTTGGAATAGTGTCTACTCCTTTCTACTATTCACTCTGAAATATGTTTGTTTGCTTATGGTGTGTAGCTGAGTCATTATCATTGTTTCAAAAACATGCTGTTAATTTGTACTTTGATCACTTTTTTTTTCTCTCTCTCTCTCTTTCTCAGTCTCTTAGTCAAACAACTAATGTACAAGTACATGTGATCTACTGAATATTTGCTTATTTTTTTTAAAGTTTATTATTATAAGTAGAGGGTAGATTTTTATCTCTTGCCAAATGTGTGTTCATAGTTGTGATGATTATGCATCTTATCTTATTATTATCTTATTCTTTTACTACTTATGTATATAGGTACCATCTGGACTTGTTGGTCAAGCTGATATTGTATTTGGTAATATGCCTATGATATATGAATTTCATAAGCAAACTTTTGAACCTGAATTAGCTAAATACACAGAAAGCGGTGATTTCTTACCAGAAGATGTTGGACATTGTTTTGTTGTGCATAGTGATCGTTTAGCTGAATTATATGTAGAATACTGTGTAAATAATACTGAATCAACACGATTAGTTATTGAACATGGACAGAATTATTTTCAGTCTTTACAAGTAAGCAAAGCAGCTTATTGTTTTCTTTTTTATTATTGATTTTGAAAAAAAAGTAGAAAAGAAGTTATGCATTCATTTCCTTATGATGAATAATACACCAGTAGCCCGATAGTGTGTGTGTGTGTGTGTGACAGAGAGAGAGAGAGAGAGTAGACTTATTCGAGCACTATCTCTTTAAAGTGTAGTGCTAATTTTTGAAGTGTTTATTCGCCTGTACCTCCGGCTCATCAAAGATTATATCAATTTAAGGTTGAAAAGTATTATTCATTTTGGTTGCATAGCTTATTGTTGACATCTAAAATAACAATCCCGAGGATTACCACCACATATATTGCTTGAAAGTTCAGCGAAAATTCTGTTTGAGTGAATAATTTAAACGGTATGTATTGCAGTTGTTGATTAATTTACAGAAATCAATAACATTTTGCGTCGGTGACACAGCGGTTAGGACGCTTACCGACCATGCGCATGGTCCGTGGTTCGATTCTCGACCACCGACGCACTCCTTTTCCTCGCTAAGCCAGAAATAATGCTGGTAAGGAGGAAAGGCTGGGCATGAGACTAGCAACTCCATCCTGTAAAAAATAAACACTGCTACAGAAACTTCAAGCGACTAGCTTGAAGCCCCATGTTCCACTGAGGAACGTGAAGGAAAAAAAATAACATTTTAGATAACACTTCAAAGTTCGAATCGAAGAATGTCGTTAGCTCCAAGTTTAAATAAGATAACCACCAATTATTTAAGTTTAAGTACTCCCCGACTGATGTGTACTGAGTAGGAGTGAAACTCCATATCCTGGAATTGATTCGATAGCTAGCCATCATCTGTCTATGAAATGAATTGCCTGCATAACTAGCAGACTAGCACATTTTGTATGTACAAAAAGATATTTAGTTTTGCATTCTTCACAGTATTATAGGATAGTGAAATCATTTTAACATTTATCGTGGATAGTGTATCATTCGACAGTGCTGAAGAATTATTTACCCTTAATAAGTGGTCACTGCTCACACTGATGAACATTAAAAAACCAAGGCTACTACGAAATGGTTGCATTGTTTTATTTCAAAGCATTTATCAAGTCTCTGTGGGTTTTGAGTGTCCAGTTGATGCGAAATTTTCTCCTGCAGTGAATGCACGTCCTCACTAAATTCAGTTGATAAAAGAAAATGTAGTTACATGTGCTTCTTCTATAAACTACGGTATGAATTACACTTCATATAACTACTCAATTTAACCCTAGTCGAAAAATTTACGTCATTATTCTTCAGAATTGTATTCCTTTGTGTTCCAACTGGAACAGAACATACAACTTCAGACTTTAAACCTTGAAGTTTCAGTAGCAGTGATGTTATTCTTTTTTTTTTTTACTCGTGCGTGGTGGTTGGCGGGCATTTTGCCACTGAATCAGACGGAAAAGATGAAGTGGAGCTTGAATTTTTGAAATTGTTATCTCCCAGCAGGAGGTCCTTCAGTCGACGCATATATGTTATGTGAAGGTTAATGATAAGACTATCAACCCAGAAATCAATAAGTGGAGTGGTTTGAACCAGTGAATTTGGCAGTTGATCCACAGTTCCAGTCACTATTATCCATTGATGATGATCACCTTACACTCAGTCTACTGTCTACTTCAAAAACAGTTGAATTATGCATGCGATTAGTCAGCGATTTTACAAAAAAAATATTTCACTGTTTTGTTATTCCCCTTAATAAAAGTACCTTCCGTATCTACCTTTCTTTTTATTTTTTTCTAGTTGTATTTCAATCTAGTTGAAACACTTCAGTCGTATCTTATTAAACCTGTTCAACGTGTAACAAAATATCAATTGTTATTACGTGAACTACGTGATTGTTGTGATCCAGTTGGAGTAGGTGAGATCAGCGAGGGTTTGGAAGCTATGCTCAGTGTACCGAAACGTGCTAATGATGCACTACATTTAAGCATGCTACAGGTAATTAAAAAGCAAGCATATCAGTTTAGTTATATAAAATGAAATGACTGCACTGCAATTACTTCCTCTATATTATTTTTCATGCAATATACTCACACATATGTGAGTGTGTGTGTGTGTGAAATTGTTGACTAGTCGGTTATTTCCTTGCATTCTTTCGACAGCATTCCTTGCCACTTTCTTGTTTTATATTTCGCAGCCACGAGACAACGACAAGTGGATCAAACTGTTGTGGTACATTTTAAGCGATTAGTTATAAGTATGAAAAAGTACACTGTATCTGAATAAAGTAGAAATAACAGTTTGTGCCGAATAAAATGGTACCGTCATCACTTATTTTGTTGGCTTCTCATCAGCTGCATGCAGTCTAAGGAGGTTATTAAGTTTATGTACAGAAACAGTTTTAACATACTTACACATAGAGTTCATTTTTAAACAAAAATATCTATCCCAAACAATAATAATTATGCAGAATGGGATTTTTGGCATCACGTAATCAAACGAAAGACAGGATGAAAACATCCAGTTATCAGGGCAAGGAAGAACTCAAAGCCGTTTCTTGCTAAATGCATATGTCGGGTTTTAGGCTCTTGATGGAGATCGCTTCAGCAAACCTGTGTAGAACTGAACTTTTTAGCCTATTGGTAATCTTGTGATATTCACCTCGTGACTCGTGTCAAATAGGTGCCTAGCAGTGGCACTGTTTAAAGCACTTGTTCCGTTGAGGCGCAGGCTTTTTGGTACATGTTCAGAAAAATCGGAGGTATGCCTTTCTTTCTGTTCTTCCAATCTAACTGTTCCCACAGATACATGTAAATTTGTGTATACACAGTTAGAGTTAACATGAGTAGGGTATCTGTCGACTTTTACTTGCACCAAAGAGTATGTTGCCCCGATAAACAGGAATCAACTTCATTGCAGGATAGGTTTTGGCTAGTGACATATCCAATCTTCTTTTGATTATTCCTGTATTATTATCACTTCTAAAATCGAGTTGAATGAAGGTTATTCAAGCCTTCACATTTTCTATACTTGTCATAAACCTCTGAGGGTGACCGTTGTTTTTCAACATCAACAACAAAAATTCTTCCTCTGTCAAAAGTGTTACATTTCATTTCTCTTCTTTTTCTTCTCGGTCTTGATGTCTGACAAGTAGTAGTAGTGGTAAGCTTCTGATTTTTGTTGCAGGAGGGTGAGAGGAGTTCTTTGTATATATATTTTTACAAAGCTAGCTTTTATTTCCTAGCTGGCATTTAGTCGTCCACATATCCTGAATATTTTCTCGGTCATTTTGTTTATTACTTTACACATTTTACTTGCCTTTACCACTGCATTGCTTTTACTGCTTTGTTGGCATATAATTGTAGTAATATTACTGTAAGTTGGATGGTTTTTCGAGTATGGAAACATTGTTATCTATATATCCATCTGTCTGTCTCAATTGCATCAATTAAAGTCTTTCATCATGGATTTAGACTTTTCCCAAAGGAGTTCTGCCATGAAACTTTGTTATCCCTGAAAAATCCTACTTACGTGTATTTCTCTGATATTCACATACATCAGTAAATGTTGATTACATCCTACTTTGTTCAAAACCCAGAAGTCATAAATTAATTATCCAAATAGTTATTGCTTACGTAAACATATGTTCGAAATTTATTTCACATACTCTGTATATATATATATATATATATATATATATATATATATATATATATATATATATATATATATATATAATTTCGTATTTCGATCAGCTGCCAAAGTTCTGTCTAGATAGCGCCGGTTTCTCGTCTTGTCTTTATTTTTGTATTCCTGTACGTTCCCAGTGGAATATGGGGTTTCGACCTAGACCTTTGATAATAGTGGTTTTATTTTTTGCGAGTTGAGGATGCTAGCCTCCCGCCCAACCTCTCTTTACAGACCTGCCGGTTTAGCGAGGATGAGGAGTACGTCGACCGGGGATCGAACTCCGAACCATGTGGTTGGCAAGCGTCTTGCCACTGGACCTAGCCTTTAGCTTTCATTGAGCTTATATATTTGCATTAAGCGTTTTTCGACTTTCACAAAATTCTCTTTATACCCTTTTTAGAATCTCCCGGAGGATGTTCCGCTTGCATCTCTTGGTGATGTAATTTTGCAAGATCAATTCACTATATGGGAGCCTAAACAATTAATTAAGAAAAGCCGTGAACGTCGAGTATTTCTGTTTGATCATTGTTTAATTCTTGCTAAAGAAGCAGCTACTCAACCTGGGGAGCATAAGTCCAAGTGAGTGAAGTTGTAGTAGTTTCATACCCTTGAATTTTTAACATTCATCCTCTTTGGTTTTTATGTGTGTAGTTTATACTCTCAAGGGGAATCAGTGTATTCGATAAGTATATTTTTAGTAACACCTATAAGAGACTTTAGTTATATGATATTATGAAATAGATGGTTTTTTACGTTAGTCGGTGAAGACATCTTTGTCCGCCTTATTTGTTATACCTAGTACAGAAATCAATATTTGCTTTTAGACTGGAAGGTGTACTTATTCGCATTCTTGGTTGAGTTATGTTCTACTAGTCACTAAAGCTTAATACGTGTCTTTAGATAACTCGTAACACAAGTTTCTCTTTTTCCCTCTTCACCGTATTGCCACTAGTTTCTTTTGCTGTTTCATGTCGGTTTCTTTTTCTTATAATTATCCTTTGAAAATCTTGAAAATCCTTTTATGTGTGTGTGTGTGTGTGTGTGTGTGGCAGACAGGCTGCTTGATTGCAAAAAAGAAAACACCCAGTAAACACGGGACATTGTTGACACTTTAATCGAATTGACTTTATAGCCCCCCACTTGTCCCCTTGTAGGCTGTTTTTTTTAAAATATCAAACATCGTCATACACATATCCTGTTGTGAATTGTGGTTCCCTTTTTTTGATAACTCTAATGTCTGTTTTGTTAGCTTCTCTCACTTTTTTAATTATTCATTCATTTTATTATTGGTCTTTGTTTGCTTTTTTTGTTGTGAGAGGGGAAACTATTCTATTGTGGTTGTTTATGTTGTCTTGCTGGGTTTACGAGGACTTTATTGGCTTCAGCGAAGTTCTCATCATCACAAATCAATACAGACTAGTTAATGCTAGTAGATATACATACACCAGGAGATTGGAGCATTTGTTTCACGCCATTTCAGCACTTGTTCACGCTAATGTCTATTTGTTATAGAATTCACCAATGAATTTGGTTAAATCTACAGAGATTCAACAATTAATTATCATTATTGTGTTTTTCTGCTATTTGTGCAAAGCTTAATAGGTGGTGAAGTTTGTGTAGCACACACACATAGCACAACATGTTCTAGTCAGAGTGGATTTTCGATGGCTGAAGATTCCAGATTTCTTGTTCTGTAAATCTGAATCACTTTTGATTACTATTTGGTTTTGTTCCCTATTAATAATTGACTAGATATTCCTGAAGGATCTAAGTTGGAGTACAGAAGTAATATCGATTGAAGTTGTCACGCTCCTCACCGAAGCATAAAAACAAATGAGAAAAAAGAAATAGAATGTTAAGAGAATAAATGAACTCTCTGGTCATAAAATGTTCGAGATAGCATCCCAGTAGAGATTTGGGTTACTCCTAATGCAAACATTATAGTGGTTCACTCACATGATTCTATTAGTTGAATGGGTGGAGACTCAGTGTGATTCAGTGACTCGTAAGGGTTCTGTTGCTGCAGATGTATTCACTAACGCTTATTCATTATCGAGAATCTGTAAATGTGCATTAATCTCCGTTGAATTCTCTACTGTGCATTTCGTCCATTGTAGTTCGATTATATTTCTTCTCTATGTGCTTTCTTTTATGAGTTCTTTTTTTCTCGAAATGTTGCATCTTGGAGTGTACTGTACTTTTGTACAGATTTCTGCATGGATCACAGTCATTCATACTTGAGACTTATCAGCTTAACTATCTTTCTGCTGAAATTACAGAGAAGATTTGTAGCTCAGGTGAAGAATTTTAAATTAGCTGTATTCTCTGAGCTGGCTGATTTAATTGCAAAGCTTTCATCATCCTTCCATACATCTTCAGCGCAGGTTTCAGTATGGAATGAACTCGATTGAATTCTTCATGAATGATATAACTGTTTCGCCTGGAAATCACTGTCGTGACTGGTTGTTGATTCTGCATCTCTATTGGTCGTTTTTATTGACTTGGAATTCGAACTTTTTTGTCTCTCTGTTACCTATCATCTCTCATCATTTACCTTTGCTTCTTTATATATACATCGTGTATTTTAGTGTTTGCTTCTCATCTTCACACTAACTGTCTATTATAAATGATCTCATTGTCTTAATTTAGGCAAAATTGAATTAACAGATGCGACAAATATAGTTATTTAGATTTGTATCTAGTATATAAGTTGTTGAAATTACTTTCTTTAAACGTTTGTCAAGAAAATAATCGAAGTTAAAAGAAAGCAGCATGTTATCTTCTTGAGGGCTGGCAAAATTGTTGGCAGCGAAGTGGTCTCTCGACTTCTCTAATTATCTTTTATATTTATGCCCTTATATTCGATATTTTAATCATTACTGATACATATATATGTAAGTGGTAATACGTAGTGATCTAGTATTAAGCCAAGATTTGTGTACTTAGTGATCAGCTTAGTGAATGAATTTGTGTGCTTAATGTGTTTTATTTCATCAGGCGAATAGCCCGCGCACATATTCGTGTATCTTTTTGTTTATTTTATTGTACTATATATATATATATATATATATATAATTTATTCTTCTCTTCGGTGTTTAATAGCATGTGATCGCTTTTGCTTTCATGTTTCACTGTCCCTGGCCTCTTCACACACACACACACAGTCATCTTCGGTGACATTTTGGTCTTATTAAATATTTTTCGTTACATAACATTTTATACGGTCTCTCTTTCTTTGTCTTTCTATTTCCATTGAAATAAATCAATAAAAAGGTATATCTATAAGTCACGACTTTTATTAGCCGATTGCAATATCACTGAGCATATTGAAGGGGATCAATGTAAATTTGCTCTATGGACTGGTCGGATTCCACCGATTCATGAATACCGTATGATTTTGAAAGCTGGAACACTTGAATTAAAGCAGGTGAGTGTGTGTTAGTAGCGCACAATTTATCAATGTCATCTATTGAAGTTTTTCATTAGAGATAATATTTAAAATAAAATAACTGGGTTATCTTCTCGCTTCAGACTATATATAACAATATATGCGCATAGCTTAAAAATAATGCATAAAGTGTTGAACACGCCTTCTTCAGCCCCAATGAACTGATTTCTGATGAGATCTTAACTTGGTTACAAAAGGCTCGTGTAGGATTCGCCAACTTATATCATCTTCGACAGACGTGATTTATCTGATTATCGATTGAAGGAGAAGTGTATTGTGTGCAGTTGTTCTCTCTGTCCTCCTTTATGGTTGTCAGGTATGACCGTTCAAAGTGGATGATATGAAAAGACTAGCTGTCCTGGATCGTGGTTTTGTGCTTCATATCTTTTGTGTTTAGATGGTGCAATCTAGTGAGCAACATTAGGGTTGGGTGTCGAGTTTTAGATAAGGTGGGAAAGTGGGTCTATGGGGTTGTAAAGCTTAGTCGATTACGATGGCTAGGAAACGTATTGCGAATTAAGAGTCTTTTGCCTTCCTCGACGAGCAGTGCCAGCTGATATTGGCATTAGGTTAGCGCGAAGGATTAGAGATTGTTGTAACAGAATCAGGCAATATCAGTCCATGAAATCTTTGATAGTTAGTCTGTGCTATGTACGAAGGTGTACACTACCTGGTTTGGTTACTAGTGATTCTACGAACCTATGGATTCAGACTGGTGATATAACTCAAAATCGTTTTCAACGTCGCAGGTGCATTCACTCTTTGTGACCTCCCATGTCCACTTAACCCATCATTTTTTTCTGATTCGGTCTTGTATCTTACTTTGAAAGATTTAAAATGGAGCTGGATACTCTAAGTTCACCAGATGTCTTTTTATCGAACTATATGCTCAGTTAGATTCTTTCTTTGTCAGTCAAGCTGGACAGTGTTCTTTCTCCCTCACATTTCTGCTTATTATAGTACTTTTGGATTCCGTTGCTCTCTCTCTCTCTCTTTTGTCTTCCTTTGTGTGCTTAATGGAGTGTGGTAACTTGAATTGCTACACTTCTGTGCAACGGACTGACTAGCGGCGAAATCTCAGCACGGATCCGAAAAGCTCAAGCTGCTTTCGCTGACTTACACCATCTCTGGTGTAGGCGTGACATCCGGCCATCAATCAGGGGACGTGTGTACTGCTCATCAGTTCGCTTCGTCCTTCTCTACGGCTCTGAAACATGACCAATGCGAGTTGAAGACATGAAAAGGTTGACTGCTTTCGATCATAGATGTCTGCGATCTCTGTCTCACGCTAGGTGGTACAGTGTTTGGCAAAGAGGGAAAATCAATCGACGAGGCTATAAAGTTACATAGATTGAGTTAGCTAGGTCACGTGCTGCGCATGCCTAACCATCGCCTCCCCCGCCAACGGAAATTACTAGCTGACATAGATAGGTGCAAGTTGGAAAAGAGCCAGTGGTGGCCAAACAAAAGCATGGCATCAATCCAAGAAATCCTTGACAGTTAAACTGAGTCAGGTAGGGAGATGAAGACTTCCGGGTTGGGGCCCTCGGGACTCTAGGAATCAATGGCTGGAGACAATAGGTGACATGGCTCAATATCGTTGTCAATGGCCAGCGCAGATGTATTCAGTCTCTGTAATCTTTCATATTCCTTTCTACCATTACCCATTCTGTTTCACTCGTATACTTGTCAGACTGTATTGATTCTCTTCACTCATCTTCTTGTCTACCTCTGTGTGCTATTTGGAAGGTGGCAACTCGAACTGCTGCACTTCGGTGCCAAGTTCTATGTTGAATCCAGACAGACAGACAGACCGACTTCTGTGCAAAATTCTATCTTAAGACTCAGTGAGTCAATATAAGCGTAGTAGTTTCAATAGAGAACACATGAAAATGATTTGAACTTATTGTTCTACAGGTAAAAATAGTCTTTATTGTCCACATCGAGTCGTTTAGTCATGTCATATTTAGGTGATGTTTTTGCCCAGACGAAATGACCACTTGTTATTATTTCTTTGTTTCTGCCATTTTTTCTTAGCCTAGTTAATTTTAATATGTCTTATTGCATGAAGTTTTACAGACTGTTGTTTTCCCTCCTGTATTATTTTTTTTTTATTAACGTGGATGTCAGAATGTCAGATTGCGATTAATCAACTTTCTAAAGTTTTTATGGATAACCTGTCTACCCAAATTTTTGGTTGGCTTCTTTATCATTTTAATCCTAAATTCTAAAGGTATAATTTTGTCTAGACTTCAACACTTCAAGTCAGTTGTTAACAGCATTAACATAAATCACATCACAATTGAGTAACCTCAAAATGTACGGTGTGAAAGAGAGGGATGATTTGTTATTAGACTGGTAGGTTACCATTACATTATTACACATCAGTAAGCATGACAAGTAGATAGAAAGATAGACAGCCAGAAAAAAAAGGTTAATACATACAAGTTATGAGCATTAGTTTTCCATATTCTTTATTTTTAATCAAAAATCATCATTGACTAGGGGGATTTTGATGAAGTGTGAAGAATTGAGCTGTCATCTACTGGAAATCACCTATTTAGACATTCTGGTATTTTTGTGATCAAATCGTTTTCGAGACTATTTTTTAATATTTGATTCTCCATACAGTAGAATAAAAAGATACTTGTGGCACTGGTGTAAGTAAGGTGGTGTTAATGAACGATCGAAGTGATATTTGCATGATTATTACAGTGTGTGTCTCCTGTTGACAGATACTTCGTGAATATTTCCACTCCATCAAGCTTGTATAAAACAACTAGAGGGAAAGAGAATGCAGATTGCGTTGTCATACACACACACGCTCATGTATATATGACATATTTTTTATGTTGATTCCGTGGGTTACATTGGCTCGTAGTATTCATCAACAACTGTGTACATTATTTTATAGTTTACATTCTGTTATATTTGTTATAGAATAATAATAATAATAATCACCGTATCTCTGTTTGTGGCCAGAGAATAATTGTCTTTATTATGGTATTTTTTTTCTCTCGAAAATTTCAGTGTAAAAATGTTGTTATACTGTTTTTTCAATATTTCCCCATATCTGTATACTTTTTCTAGTGTGTATCACTGAGTTCTGCATGTCTGTTCCATTTTGTAATTGTTAGAATTGGGTTCGTGCATTAAGAGAGGTAATGCGTGAACGTGTATTCAGTGTGCAAAGTTTATATCAACATCAGAATCAAAATCCGAATGCAGCGAACTTGTTCGACGATGCAGCTGAAACTCTGGATACCTTCTATATCCTTGAAAACTATCAGGTGAGTTATCTGCCAGCTTAAAGTATTTTTGATACAGTAAGTTTATTTTATTTTTTAGTTCCCTTTCAAACAGTGTGCGTGATACATCAGTTCTGTATGATTCAAGGTCATGACTTAGTAATAATTAAGAATCAAGATTTAGTTTTATAGGGACTTGATTTTGCCTCAAATTTGACGACGGATTGAGTACTAGAAAGTACTAGATTACTAGAAAGCTGTTTCGTCGTAGTTCTACTCTTCGTCGGTGCATACACATCGGCATTCTACCTTCCTGTTACAAGTCAAGCCCATAGACCATTCAGTCACTGGGACCCAACTCAATTGCCATTGCATGAATTCCACCTTCTACCAGTTCGTGATTTTAGTGCGACCACTAGTCATTGTCGTCATCAGCGAGTATTTGCACCCCACTGGTCACAATTTCTCACTGGAACTCCAGGCGACGTCGTGCTGTAGCCAGGTACTAGCGAGCGTCGGATTAATTTTCAAAAGTTAGTCTGTAGGGATGCGAGTTTGTTTCAAGTTTGATGACTCTTATAATATTCCTCATTGGCATGAGCACTCGAATCTTATCTAACAATATCTGGGGTTCGAATCTTTCTTGATCTACTTCATTCGGCGTAACCGGGTTGTAGTATGTCGCTAGCCCTCGTACAATAATTATATAGCTTATGGTCTTCCGCATAAAAAAATCTGCTTTGGGTAACAGTGTTCTGATTATATCTTCTTTCATTTTTCTGCGTTATTTGAAAAGTTAGACAGTGAAGAAAGTATTCCTACTTGTCAATTAGTAGATATATGAGTGTGAAAGGAAATACGATCGCATAATCACAACGAGGACCTCTACTTTGAATCATACTAGCTAATCTATCCCTTTACATATTTTTATGATTGGGATTGGTGTTTCTGATGAAGAGGCATCACAGTTATTCATTTCACTGAATATAAAGCGGTCTGATTGTTGTTGATTTTGACAGTAGGTTACACCACTCTCACATCTTGATACGTCTCATACACCTACTATGGTTTTGATACTTGTTTGCTGTTGAATCATGTTATTGAATTTTTTTTTGTGTGTGTAGTATTCACAATGTCTTCAAATAAGTTTAGTGTTGTACGCATTTTTATGTATGATGGTTGTTTTGTCCTCATTTTTGTTTTTCTTGCTAATATATATGCATGCACATAATTAGTTGAGCGAGCTAAAGATAACTTGTTTCGGAACAGTGATCAATTCAGTTGACATTTGTTGTAGGAAAAAGAGATAAACGAGTTAGATAAAAAGGGGGAATGTATGCACAAGAAAACAATAATATAATAGTAATATAGTGATGTTAAAAAAAGTTTTTACTGATAAATTATCTGTTAAAAGATATTGTTATAAAGTTACATAGACTAAGATGGCTAGGTCACGTGCTGCGCATGCCTAACCACCGCCTCCCCCGACGGGCATTGTTAGCTGATATAGGTTCAGGTTGGAAAAGAGCCAGTGGTGGCCAAACAAAAACATGGCATCAATCCATGAAATCGTTGACAGTTAAACTGAGTCAGGTAGGGAGATGCAGACTCCCGGGTTGGGGCCCTCGGGACTCTAGGAATCAATGGCTGGAGACAATAGGTGACATGGCTCAATATCGTTGTCAATGGCCAGCGCAGATGTATTCAGTCTCTGTAATCTTTCATATTCCTTTCTACCATTACCCATTCTGTTTCACTCGTATACTTGTCAGACTGTATTGATTCTCTTCACTCATCTTCTTGTCTACCTCTGTGTGCTATTTGGAAGGTGGCAACTCGAACTGCTGCACTTCGGTGCCAAGTTCTATGTTGAATCCAGACAGACAGATTGTTGCTTCTAGTGTGTTCGATTTTCAATTCACATAGTACTCAGGCATATATAGGATGAGCAGTATTGACGTTAGGCATTGATTGAGTGTTAGGTAAGGAGAGAAGATCAGTCGACGAGATTATGATGTTAAACCGATTAAGAGGATTTGGACATGTTTTACGTAAGCCTAGACCATCGCCTTCCTCGACGGGCAATGCTGGTCAGCTGACATAAGATGGATCAGGTTGGAAAAGAGTTAGCCACTGTTGGTCAAACGAAAATGTGGCTTCATCAGTCAATGAAATCCACAACAGTTAGATCAAGCCACTTAGGAAGTTGTAGACTTCCTGGTTGTCTGGTTGAGGTCCTCAAGATGGTAAACACCAGTGGCTGGAGACAGTTGGTGATATGACTGAAAATCGTTCTCAGTGATGCATCCACTCCTTGTGACGTATAATATCCAATGAAACTATATCGAAAACTTCATGCAATTCTTCCCATTAATAAACTTGAACAAAGCAAGAACAACAATTGTACCAGGATAATATGAGCTCATCTTTTATTGTTTCGAGGATTCTTCTCAACTGGTTACAACTATATTGTTCTTCCATTTGCCTTAAATACCCTGATTACTGTCTGTATTTCGCATTTCTTTTTACTTTCTTCTTTTGTTTTGTGTACTACTTGGAGTGTGACGATTCGAACTGCTGTATATCTGTGTAGAGTTCTCTGTTGAAACTAGTCAGTTAGTCAGATGTATATATTTCATACTTTAAAACTTCAATAATATTTACCATTACTTATTCTTTTTATGTTGTAAGGCGGAAAATGATAATGAAATTTCGGTATCAGCACATCAGATTGTACAATTATTGCATCGATGTGATGAACCTATCATGGCGAATATCCCCACAGAAAATAATGAAAATGATGGTAGTAATACTCCAAAATATGATCCTAATGGAACCGGTGATTGGGCTCTTATTCGTGTTATTGTGCGTGGTACAGCAACATCTACTAATTCACCAACTAAGGAAGGCTTTATTCCAGCAAAGCTTATCGGTGCACCTTGTGGTCGTAAATCATTAACATCAAATTCACGACAGTCTTCAAGTGGTCGACGAGGCAGTACCTCAGTACGTAAATGGTTACCTTCAGGAGTTGGTAGTGGTCGAAGAAGTACAGTCACCTCAGCAAATAGTGGAGCACCGGGTAAACGAGGATCAAAGGTGGATATTAATCAGTCTCAGGTATGCACTATTAAATACATATACTACATACTATTTCGAAACATTTCAACTAGTTTCCCAAAGTGATTTTTACGTTAAGTAGTAAAGTGTTGGAATATAATTGGAATGATATATATATATATCAAAATGGAGCAGTAGTCAGTTGGTGTACGCCTTCTGTGTGTTGACGCGATACTTGTTGTGGACATTATCTTGGGTTTTCATTTCTATCATTATCTCAGTGTCATTAATGATGACAACATATCAAAGAAGGGATTTCTTAAAGTATACTGAAAAGAAGTGGTATATGAATTTACAGCCAAGTCTGACGGACTAGTCTAGATATATTTTTGTATCATCCCATCAGACTGAGTATTGATCAAATATGAAAACTCAGAGGGAGAAATCAAATAAAGAATCACCTTTTTTTGTGTATCCTTGTGTATTTTATTTTTTAAACGTAGGATGTGTATTTTTATGTATAACTTTAGTGTTGTCGCCTTCAGTATCTTCATTGATGTTATTTTCGTAAATAAATAAGTACAACTATGTTCACGGATCATGGTTACATTTTCAACTATTATTATTTAAAAACAGGTTATCAATCCGACATCAGCCGGTGAAAATCAAGTGAAGTCTGGTCAAATTAACACCACTAACAGTGAACAACAACAACAGAAGACAGCAGAGCTTGGCGGTCTATTACTAGATAATGTATCCGAAGAAAGCGTCGATGTCGAATTACCCCCACCAATGAATGAAATACAAGCACCATTACGTTCAACTGTAAATGAATTATTAGACATGAAAACTGTAAAAGAATCAGATAATAATAATAATAATGGTGATAATCACTTCCTTCTAGATGATATTACTGTGAATACTAATCCAAATCAATTGAATAATTTACAGAACAACTCTACTACTACTACTAATAATAATCACAATAGTGACACCACAATAAGTACAATTGGTAACAATAATCCAAGTAATGAAACTTCTAATGATAAGGTGAGTCAGTGTTTTCTTTGTATTATTATTTCCTGTTTGATAAAACTAATGAAAAATTTTATATGAAAATTTATATGAACTATACATACACTCTAGCTAGACTATTATATTACTTATCCATTATGATCAATGAATACTACGAACAGGTTTTTGTGAATTCTCATTAAATTAAGTTGAATAGGACTCAGTTGTGTGCGTCAGTGGCACAGCGGTAGAATGCTTGCCAACCACCCGTACGGTCCTGTGTTCGATCCCCGACCGACGCACCCGTTTACCTCGTTCAGCTACTAATAAGACTGGTAAAGGGAGATGGTTGGGCATGAGGCTAGCAACCATATCCCGCAAAAGATAAATACTACTGCTACCGAAACTCCAGGCCTCTAACTTAAAGCTCTATGTTCCGCTGGAAACATAAAGGAATTAAAAGAAGGAATCAGTTACTTGGGACAGATTTTTCGTTTGTCAGTCAATGGGTCGTACTTATTGTATGAGATGGAGAGCTGATATGACGTTTCGCCCTATTCCCCTAGGCTGCAGTAAGCCGAGTAGGGTTCTAGTCCGGGACCGATTGGCTAAGAGTTTTGCGCTTATATGCAGGTAGGTTATGTCTCCTATCGTAAATTGCAAAATACAGCTTTCTTATCGTTAAGCTTCTGTCAGTTTCTATGACACCAGACATTATGATGTTTATTCCTCAGATGGCATTCTCTTATGTTACCTAAACCCAAAGATCACTTGTTATTAATTATAATTAATCACTAGTATTGTCATTTCACCAAATCAAAGGGAAAAGTCAAAGAGAACCAACAAGTTGGCAGCAGAAGCAGCAAAGATGGGACGGAGGTGATGACGGAGGTGATGAGGCCACCTCATCTACAATAACAATAAGCACCAGATCACTTCACGTATCTAGACAGCATCGTCTCAGCTATGGATGCCCCACACGGATGGCGATGTCAAATCTTCTCGGGATCAGAAAGGTAAGTCAGACCTTCATCACTCTGAAATCAGTCTGGAAATCTGGTGTATTCAGCGCAGAGAACAAATTTCGGATTTTCAACACCAATGTTAAGTCAGTCAGTTCTTCTATGTAGGCAAGAAGTTTTGGCGATGGCGTCATGAAAAGCAGGCTGAAAACTTTTATCAACAACTGCTTCACTCCATACTGAAGATCAGATGGCTGACAGGAAAGGATTTACAACAATTAAATCTGACAATAAAGCAAGTACCTATTGTTCAGCAATTATCCCGAGGTAAATGAGGAGGGATCGGACGCACTAAGGAGACCGTTGGGTGACATCACGCGCCAGGCCATCGGTTAGTCGGAATCCAAATGGGAAACAACTTGTTGAGCGTGTGGCCAAAGGTTATATAGAGTCGGTTGTATGAGGAGGAGGAGGAGGAGATCGCTGTGTGTTGTTTCAAATAAACGTTTTCAGTATGGAATGAGATCCTGTGGGCAATCATAGCGTCGGCTAAAGGGGAACTCAGAAAATAGGACATAGTGGTGGCACAGTGGTTATGACTCTCGCCGACCATGCACATGATTCAGGGTTCGATCCCCTGCCTGCAAAACTTGGGCTACCAATATCATATGCTGAAAATTCCATACTTGTACCGAAAATACGGTGTGGAATCAAGTTGTAATCAAAAATCAATCAATCAATAAATATGTTGTTGAAGTCCAATGTACCATTTTGAATCCAAGGGAATAATATTATTATAATAGGCCAAAGAACACTTTGAATTTGAGTCCTGTTCCCTGTTAGTGTTAAGTGGTAATATTACTTACTTACCGATTAGATCTCAAAGGATTAGGATTCAGTGATTCTCGATTAGGTTTAATACTTATATGCAGTTCCTCATGCCACTTCTACCACTACAACTAATAATTTCTCAACAATTTTCTGTCTTTTAATCTCTCATTAGAAATTAAAGTTATAAATGTGAGTTGAAGAAAAAAGAATAAAACTAATGGTGTGTGATGCTTTTTTTTCCTACTTCACTAACAATTCGTTTGACATAATCGTTAAAATACATTTATGTATGCGTCTATGACGGGTGAATAAAGAAATTTGATGGAATTCCGGTCTGTTGAGTGATTATGACAGTAGTGTAATATTCAGAGACTGTCATGCTGCTCTTCTTGAGGTTCGTCGGTAGTGGTCCAGCGGTAGAACGCTCGCCAACCTTGCCACATGCGGTCCGCTGAAGAGAGGAGGTTGGGCATAAGTCTAGCTACCCCAACCACTGCTCTTGAAACTGCATAGGTTTACTTTAAAACTCAGTGTTCCACTCAGAAAGTAAGAGAATTGGAAGATGTACGCCTGCTCCATTCGAGTTGTAATCACTGCATACGTTCACATGTATGTGTCTACCGTCAGTATTTCTGTGGATGACTATTTACGACTTCATACATGGAAACATACCAACTTCGTTCAGAACTTTAATTAAACAGTTTAAAACACTTAAATTGAATTTTTTAGATTTCCCCGTCTATTAATTGCACCGAAGGTTGACATGTCGGCTTCTTGTGCAGATGCTTCGACGATTCCTGGGCATGTAATTAGAATTTAATTGGTGGATGGTGACTAGCAAAAAAATTCAATTAAATTAATATGACCCTTTGCGCATGAAGTGGCCCAAGTGGGTCTAGTGGATAACGCTTTGGCGTTTGAAACTATGGGTACTGAGTCCGAGCCTCGGTCGGAACACCATCACTCATTTGGGGGAGTGTAGGCACAAATGAGGAGGCCCAAATAGGATGAAGTGCACATCCTTGATTCCACTGCTAGTCCCTCTAGCCACCGATTGAATCTAAAACAGTTGTTACTCGAATAGATTCCATCTTATTCCGGTTTGTTCGACAAGACTGGATGTATGACAACATAATACACATCAGTCTGCCCATTTGACAAGAATTCCCTACTGTGTGATTCAGGATTCTTCAGACTTCCTATTTCGAATCTAATTTAACTTCTTGACTAGGAAATAACTGTGTTCTTTTGGTTATGACATTTTCATGTGGTGTGTGCATGATAATATCCTTGTCTTTGAAAATGGTCTTTTTTAATATATAGTGTATCAGGTGGGGAGATACACTTAAATAGTTACAAAAAGTACAAATTTATAAGCCCTACTTACTTAGTGTTTTTGTATTTTTCCTGGGCTGGATGTGATCGATTAATTCTGGAGCTTTCCTTCTCCCCAATCGGCAATGTTTCCAGCTCTAACACCAGTATGAAGTGTATTTTCAATTTTAATATTATAAACTTTCTTGTCTGGCATACAGGTGTAACCATCGGTAAATAAACTGTGACATAATCATACTGTGATTGGACACTAGTAACCAGTGTGATGTATCTAGTCCTTTCTTGGGTCCAGATTAAATTCTATCATTCAGGTTTGTAATGTGGCCACCGTTCCTGGCAGCTCGCCGTCACGGTGCACATTGATTTGATGATATTAGATAGTTGGAGGCAATCGACAGGAAGCCTTGGACCTAGGCTTCGTGCTAGTTGGCGCTCACCAGTCAGCAAGGTGTATCTGCAACCTCGAAGGAACTCATGTCATTTCTGAGATTCGAGTCCAAGGCTTCCTGCCGACTGCCTCTAACCATCTAATATAATCATACTGTGCTAATTGATAATATATACTTAGTAAACCAGATGGAGATAGTTTCATGCAATAAAGTTATGCAACACAGTGGTCATTAGATATTGTGTTCCTCTCTATTTTTTTAATAATTGAAATATTCCCAAAAATTGTGTTGAGGAAAAAGTTCATTCAACGATACACTCTTCTAAACCCTTGTACGATGATTTTAATGGGAGGTGATTATTGTACAGTGCAGATAACAATAGTAATAATACTTGCAAAGAAATATTCTTTACTTCATTTACTGGGTGTATGCCCTGTTGTAATATAACATAATCTATTAGCACATGGTTGTTAAACCTCAATGTGATTCAATAGTTACCTGTTTTTCCAATATATCATTTTATAATGCCAGACTAGTTTCATATCTCTGTCTATAATAATTACCCCTCGATATTGTTCATCACTTTTGTGATTATCTCTCTTCTCTTTTCTAGCTAACATAAACACAAACACTCAATACACTTAAGCTTTATATGCACACTGATTCTGCATTCGTCTACTGCCGTCTGTTTTTCTGTAATGCCACAGTGTGTGTATATTAGACGAATATATATATATATATATATATATATATATATATATATATATATGATAAAGGTTGAACTTGATCAAAAATTTGGTGAAGATAACATATCCAGTCGTATACACGTATATCAGTTGTCGAATACAACCCAATACTTCTGTTCTAGATTTCTGTGCATCGGACTACCTTCTTTCAAGAATATATGCCCAGAAGATAATTTCTTGTATAGTGAATCTTTAATTTTTCTTTGTTGTAGTTGAAAAAAGAACAAGTTTAGGATAAGTATCAACACGACTGACTATGGGTTGATAGGATAGGATATTGGTTTGGCTGGCTGTGATACAATAACACAACATATAAGATTTTAATTATCTAACAGGGCTTCATGTTGGCTAGCGCTTGTGTTAGCGTAAAATTCTTCTCTGTGTTGTTGTTGTTGTTGTTATTACGGTGACTTTTGCTTCACGCTTATTTTCCAACTCCGCACCTTTCCTACCTTTTTCCGAATTATCGCTTCATATGTCTTTCTAACAATCAATTTGTGTCTTTGAACAAACTTTTCACTTTTTTTTGTCCATAGTTTCATAATTTTTACATATGTGTATTTTTGTATAATTGTTATCAGTATTTCTGCCAGTAATTTATATTTATCATCTATTTATTCGCAATTTATGAAATGGACACAAATTCAGTGCATTCATATTACACAAAGGGATATGCCGCCGTCTAATAACAAACAGAGTTCGCTACCAGTAGGTTGTGTGTATAGAGAAGGTATGGAATGAGGGAGTGAAAAAAAAATGTGACGGTGCGATAAAGACAAGTTTCTTTGAATTTCTAAAAAGGTAGTGTAGTTATTTGTCCCAAAAGGAAACTGAACTTCAATGTTTATTAACACCTGGATTGCATTATAGCTTGTGACTTGATGATTGTAGGTTTTCAAAAGTCATCGGTTTCCAACAAGTGGTGTGGGTTGTGGATTGGAACCCCTCGCCGCATATACTGGGGTTTTAGCAGTTAGATAGTAATGAGTACCTATCATCACACATTAGGTGGTGGCGTGGCTTCATTGTCAACTGTATAAAATAGCTTGTTGTGTAAAACCTTATTTTTTTATCAGTTGAAATTATCAACTGATATTTGAACTCTTGTGCGTTTTCACTATCCGTCGTTACTGCCCATAAGTTTGTTAGCCATTGTCTCTATCTATCTGCACATCATTCATAACGTAATCACTGTAGAAATGGTTTGTGGTCAGGGGAATGTAAGTGTGTTTTTTTGTGATGTAAGGAGTTATGGATTGAAATCTTAGTTCATTTCTTTCGTCTAATTCTATTATTATTATTATTATTATTATTATTATTATTATTATTATTTGGTCATCACATATTTGTTGTGGCTCATCTTACTGCATAAATGTATAATAAATATTTGATTCTCTTCTTTGGATGTAGACGATTACTTGATAGTGCTAAGATAGAAGATTCGAACAGGTTACCCACTAGTGACCTTATCTGCAAGCATTTTAGATCACGAGTGACAGACTTGAATAAGTAGATGGATGAAATGAGGTTTGCTTTCATTTGACTTCTATCATAAAATCTACTTCTCTCTTTATTTGAAGTGTTATTTGATCCTTTGATATCAGACTATAGTCATAAAGGAAAGGTGTTTGATAGAGAAAGGAAAGGGATTTTTTATGGTTTAAATCCCTTGGTAATGTTTTCATCTCCTTGTTCGCATTATTATTGACTAACTGGAAAGTGTTTATCTATTTTTTTCTCTCTCACATTGTTTTTCTTATGGTTTAGCTTGTTAAAACTGTACATCGTTTGGCGAATGTAGCCGAAGTAGCTGGAGATAGTCAAACACAACTTGGTGATGTTCCACAATTGATTGGTCTTCCTGGCGGAGCAAATTTATCCGGTGTAGGCAATTTACGTTTACATGGTGGATTGAGTGTAGCTACAAAACTTGTTGCCGGCTGTAAATCCTCTGTACCATTAATTCATTCCACTGGTTCACCAGATCTGTCTGTATCAACTAATAGTAGTACTAGCAGTTCTCATTTTCTTGGTCAAGATGAAGAATTACTCTTAGATATACTTGAAGAAGGCGTTGAATTGCATTTTGTCACTAGACATCTATTTCTTTATGATCATGCTTTAATTATAGCGGATGGTGCAATGGAATTAACTACAGTGTCTGATGATAATGTAACACCAAGAGAGAAAGAACAAGCGAACAGTAATAGCAATAAAACGAAATTACAATGTCGATTTCGTCATGCATTGCCTATTAGTCAGATATCAGTTTTGGTAAGTCATATAATAATTGATATAAAAGGGTTTTATTAAGTATATTATATTTTACCAACGTGGAATGCGACCCATGTTAAAGGTGTATTTATGTGTTTATGTTGTGATATGTTCTAGGTTATTTTGGAGAGTTTAGATTTTTGTTATTTCAATTTTTCTCACAATTCTTCCCTTTGTTTACTCTATTCGCCTTGTTCATATAGGAGGATGTTGGCGTTGGTGGCTCAAGACCTACTGGTGAACAGCTGTTATGGTTCTGTCTGTCAGAAAGAACACGTTATCTTGGTTCACCTTTCGAATCATCTCTTGCTACATCACCACCACAATCACATTTGTGTTATATAGTTGCCCCAAAATCACCTGAATCACGTATTCGTTGGTTGAGTGAGTTAACCTCTATGATCATGGAAGCCAGGCGCTTGTCACAAGCATACCTTATGAATAATGCTTCCATGGGATCTGGTGGTGATTCAAATACAGCTACGTCAACAGGTCATATGAAGCTGCCGCCGGCAACTCTTTATCCCAGTGGTGTACTGTTTGACACAGGTTGGTTTTCTTTTGTTTTGGATCATATCAAAATGTTTCTTTTTTTTCTGTCTTTGGTAAAATATTTTGTTTCACACAAGTCTACCAACGTAATTGTAGGACGAGATACTTTCTCACTTTGGTGAATACTGACTAACAATTCTCTAGTTGCTTTGTTTCCCCCCCAAAAAAACAATATAGGTTGTTCATAATATTTACCTATTTTTAGATAAAACCTTTTTAAGATACAGTTACGCCCCCCAACTAGATTGAGACTCTGAGTCCCTATTTAAGGAAGAAATGGCGAAACGAGTATCTGAGGTCGACAGCAGGACTACTCCTGAGGAAACCTGGCACAACATACAATTAGCTGTAGACACAGTTGTAACAGCTATCAATAACCCGAAACCAGAAGTTAGCAAGAGCCATTGGATTTCTACCACCTCATCTGAACTGATTGACTCAAGAAGACAGATTCGAATGAGCTCCGATTATGCTGAGGGGCGAAAGCCATTCAAACGCAAACTGACAAGAAGCTGTCTCAACGACCGTGAACAGTTGTGGGCGACAAAACAGAAAGAGATGGAAAAGACAACGGCGAAAGGTAACGCCAGACAACTATTTAGACTTACAAGGGAAACAGATGGCAAAAGGAGAATGACAAGTGATATAGTTTCTGAAAAAATGGCGCTATAACTAGCTTTGAGGATGGATGACAATTTACAAGAAGGGAGACAAGTCTCCGTGTTGTAATCACAGGGGTATTAGCTTGACCAACATGGTATCTGAAGTTCGACTGTCAATGCATAGACTATGCGGTGCTGGGAAGGAACAAACACAGGAGAACTACCCAGGCTTTAGACCAGGAAGAGGGTGTATTGGTCATGTCTTTACCCTTCGTCACATTCTGGAACACAGGTGCCATACTCACCGGCGTCCAACAATCGTCATATTTCTTGACCTAAAAGCGGGATTCTATTCCATCGACGGAAAGGTACTATGGTGATGTTTGGCTGTGAAGGGAATGCCGAGAAAATTCATCACTGATCAAGGTACTCACTCTATTCGGACTCATGCAGTTAGCAGGGTGAAAGTCTACGGAGAGTTGTCATTTAAAGTGGTGACGACTAGTGTTGTACGTCAGGGATGCTCACTATCCCCATTTCTATTCCATTTCATCATAAATCTATTAATGGAATTAACCCTAACTGCTGACTTCAGCGACTTAGAGATTGATTTGTTGCCAGGGAATAATCCCGTTGATGACATAGTCCTGCTCCTTGGGGAAGACCCTGAAAAATTTCAGAGTCTTCTGGACACTTTGACGAGCAGTAATGTTCGAACGTTTGGCATGCTATTCTCTCCCTCTGTCAAATGTATGATGATGCTACAGGACTAGTCTGGACTACATTGACTCCTAGCTTAGAAATAGGGAGTGAATTGGTAGAGCTAGTTAACCACTTAACTTATTTGGGAAGTTGCATCAGTCAGCTCCAACGCGTTGATCGCTGATGAAATCTCAGCACGGATACTAAAGGCTCGTTTGGCATATGCGGGCCTACACCATTTGTGGCGTAGATGTGATATTCAGTAGGCTGTCTACCAAAGGACATGTCTGCTGCTCAGTAGTTTGCTCCATCCTCGTATATGAGTGTGAGTGAAACCTGGCCACTGAAAGTGGGAGACATGAACAGCCTGGATAGCTGTCTTTGATCATAGGTGCCTGCGTTCTATGTCCCGTGTGAAGTGGTATAACAAGGTGAGCAATATTGAAGTAAGGAATCGGTCGAGTGCTAACTAAGTAGGGAGCGGAAATCAGTCGACGAGACTTTGAAGCATATGCATTGGTTGAGATGGTTAGGGCATGTACTACGCATGCATACCTAGCCATCCATCGTCTTCCTCGACAATGGCCAATGTTAGTCAGCTATCATAGGGTCAGGTTGGAAAAGAGCTAATGGTGGTTGTCAAACCAAAACATCAATTCATCAGTCAATGAAATCCACAACAGTTAGTTTAAGCCAGCCAGTCACTTAGGAAGGTGTAGACTTCCTGGTTGGGGGGGGGGTTGGGGTCCTCGGGACGGTAAAAACCACTGGCTGGAGACAATCGGTGACATGGCTTAAAATCGTTCTCAATGATGGTGCAGATTCATCCACTCCTTGTGACTTATAATACCCAATGAAACTATATTGTTCTTCGGAATTACTATTCTTTTTGTCTCATATCTCTGTTTTCTCTCTCTGTTTTCCATTTCGTTTTACTTTCTTCTCTTGCTTTGTGTGCTACATGGAGTGTGGCGACTTGAACTGCTGCACATCGGTGCAAAGTTCTATGTCGAAAACAGGCGGCAGGTGTTAGGATATCAACGTTTAATGTACGCTGATCGTTAATGTGAAGCTGGTTATCATCACATATTTACATGCAGGTTCGATTTACCCTACTTATCGGTTTCACTGTACCAACCTGCTTATCAGCGTAAGCTGGGAGGTGGTAAATAGCATAAGGACTGTGACATAGATATTAGACATTGTCATCGTATTATGGATTATTATTATTACTTTAACTGATGTCAGCTCATGATGAAATCCTTCACACTTTTAGATTGTTTAAAATGTTACCCACTTGGGGATAAGTTCAATTGGTCGTAAACTAACCACTGGAATCATTTCATCAGAAATATATATCTACTGGTCTCGACTAGTAAACTAGTAGAGAGTATTTATAATATCAGATGAAATTGAACAACACTCCACTAAGTGTGATTAATTCAACTGCATATAATAGAAATATTGATCATTGTAGGTCTCTGCACAAAAATTGTGTATCACTTCCGATTGTTACACTTTGAAACCAACGTATAAGAAAGTAGAGTGAATTCTGAAATAGGTGTTACAATGTTACAATTAACGAATCTCTATGATTGTGCGTGCACAGGGTGTATAGGTGGGGGCAAGGTAATAATGCCATTTTTGATGAATTGATTTTCAGCCATAACCACCACCATTGAAAGTGTCGTTTATTCGCATTTATTAATTAGGCGAAGTTAAACTTTCGACACCACTAACTACCAATCAGCGAATTATCCAATGAGATTCACGAACGATGTCGAATTATCCAATGAGGTTCACGAACGCAGTTCAATGTTGTATAGCGCTTGATTCATTTCTAATGCGTGACCTTACAAAGCTATTGCTGCAATTCGAGGAAGTTAGCGTTTTCCAGTATTTCCTGGATTTGAGTTGCGCCGGAAAGAGCGAATTTGTTTGTGTGGTGGTATCATGACTTTAAAAAGCTATACCAAATCAACTGATGGGTTTGTTCATCGTTGTGCTATATGTTTGAAGCCTACTAACGCTGGAGAGAGTAAACTGATAATTTTAATATTTCGTAGGAACTTTTTTCGCTAGGTCGCTTCTCTCCCTAAAGATAGAAGATAGAAAAGCAACTACTCTTATACCTATTATTACCAGACTTGTTAAGCGGGGGTCAATTATACACACCGACAAGTGGAAAGGCTACAATTCACTGTCATCTCTGGGATATATTCATCATAGAGTCAACCATTCAAGTGATTTTGTGGATCCCGTTACTAGGACACATACAAATTCTATTGAAGGATTTTGGGGTAGGTTGAAAAATAGGATAAGGGCTATAAATGGATCTCATTTATGGTCATTTGGATGAATATATGTACAGGACATGGTGTAACTTTTCCATTTTCAGTCCCATGCTAAACTGGGAGATGTTTCTGTCACATGTTCTAGAAAGATATCCCATGTAACTTTTTTATTCTCTATTTTATGCTTTTTTCTACAAATATACATTTCCATTCATCATATATGCCTCTTTAATGTGACTGGTCCGTTCAAGGTCGTTTTCTGATTGGTTGTTAGTGGTGTCGAAAGTTTAACTTTGCCATTAATTAATACTAAGCTGTGATATATTCATACTCCGTGTTGGTTGGTTACATTGATAATTCTTATAGTATTCAGTCATTGTATTATTAAGGTGCCTTTCTTTTTGAAGGAGAAGAAAACCACTGAATTATACGAAAGGTTGAATAACTCCGAAACATGGAATCGCAATTGTGTTTGTCAACTTTTATTTAAAGCTTTGAGTTCTTTTCTCTGAATGATTAAAACGAAAATGCATTTTTATATAATAATAATAATAATAATAATAATAATAATAATAATGCAGTAACATATTTTATATATCAGGATCTTTAGAGCTGCCTAAACCTGGTAGATATAAAATAATTGGCAATCAAGATGTTACAATGAATAATTCAACACGTTACCCTCCGCCAACGGACCAAATTACAACTGATATCGGAAATTTAAACATTGGCTCAAATCTAATTCCTTCTTCATCGTCCGCTTGTACATCATTACAAGGCTCAATATCACAGTCATCGAATTCTCGCGTTATATAATAGTGATCATGATCATGACGATGGTAATGATATGAATTTTTTTTCCTGTTCACGAAAAATCATGTCTTCCTTCTTTGCTGCATCCAGTTACATTTGTTCTGTCTGTCTATCAATCTCTGCCTTCCTCCGTCTTCTATATTATCCATCCTTCTACGTCATAGTCTTTTTTGTGTATAGAGTCAATATAGGCAAATTTAGAAGAAAAAAATAGAAACAAAACCGGGATAAAAGATACAGTTGAAAACCTTTAGTCCTTCCTTATTTTATATGTACAGCTGACAAAAAAGAAGGACTGATCATTATCAAGTATGCGTGTAATACTCTCATCTTTTACAGTTTTTTGAAATGTGCTTATACACACAGTCACAGTTATATTCTTCTATGTCAATCCTATAATGCCGCTCACTTGTTCGTTTCTATAATGGATAGATGTGAATGCATTTGTGTGTGTGTATGCACATATAGGTGTGGACTACGAGAACCGACGATTTCATTTCTACAGCTGTCTATATGAGCCTACCCCACAACACATGAAGACCTTGAAATTAATGACTATCGTGATAATCATGCGTATTCTGTATAGTGTTTCCAATGAATATACGTTTGTGCATTCTTCTTTTTATTATTATTATTAATTATTATTGTTATTATTATTATTATTATTATTTACACCTTTATGCATTTCAAGCAAATGATAATGTGTAGCGTGTTTTTTCCTGCGTGCGTATTTATCTTTCAACCGTGTTTTTTCACTATATATATGTAAACTTAGTCTGAGTGTAAACATTTGTTGTTCAGTTGTGTTTGTATGATTTCTCGCTCTCTCTCTCTCTCTCTCTCACACACACACACACACGATATTTCTTCAGTTGAGGGTGGGGAAGGTAACTCATCTAATTGTTGTTTTCAAAAATATTAGAGAAGAGACTACCTCACATTTTATTGTAAATTTTATTTCACTCAATATAATGACTGAAACACACACACACACACGTGTAAAAATGGATAATTTTGCTTTTGATTTTTAATGAGCATATATATACATATACATACAGATATATTTCTATATCTAAAAACCAAATTGTACATCAGTTCGTCTATTGTGTGTTACACATATATACATATTGACTTTGAAGACTTTCACCACATAGTTCGTTATTATTGTTATGCTCATTATTGTTTTGTGTTGTTTTTTTTTACTGAAGTGAGTGAGCTCGGGTGATTCGGAGGCATGGACAACATTACTTTTCTCTCTCTCTCTCTCTATATATATATATATATATATATATATATATATTCATGTTGAGTTCTAATTTCACCATCATTATTTATTGTAAGGGATCATTTTGTGTTACTCTTAACTTATTCACTTACTACTGTTTTCTTTCAATGCCGTCAGTCCATATTAAGTGAGTGAGTGAATGAGCTAGTGATGCGTAAAATTCAAAGGAGAAAAATTGACAAAACAGAAACGGTGTGTGTGTTGAAAGAAAAAAACCACAGAAAAGATAATAATAGTTTGCGAACTGTGATTTCTCCTATTGTGAACAGATTATGGAACGACAAACAAATCAACTGACCAGCTAACAAATAACAATCAAATAGACTTCATTTTCCCCGCCTTCTTCATATTCAGTACGAATGTATGTATAGACAAATTCTCTCTTTCTCTTTTTGTCCTACAATTACTTGGTTCACGTTTATTTACTACTACTTAATTAAAATAGTGACAATTCAGCAAGTAGTATTATTCTACTTCTTGAAGAATATTTTATTATTGGCTTAATTTCATTATTGTTTACTTTGCTTAAGTTTGTGGTTTTCTTCATAGGAGTGTTTAATTTTATTACATACATACATATTCCCGCTGATAAGTTTGAAACAGGAATTGTGCATTTCATTTGTTCGTTTTCTACTGGTTTGTTTGTGGTGTCTAATTTTCAGTATCACTTCGGTTTTTTTCCTATTATCCTCTCTCTCTCTCTCTCATTATATATATATATATATATATATATATGATTGTACTTTGTTCATATTTCCAGTGTTAGTTTTATTTCCTAGAATGAGTACGCTTATTGCGTTGATATGTGTATGTTGAGTGCCATTGTTAATGATCCATCGCTTGTCTTTCCTCTTCTTAAATCTATTGTAATCAGCATGAAATAACGGCTTGCAAAGTTACATTATTTCCCACTATAGTAAAAATATTCATTTTTTTTGTTGAGTCTGTTGGCTTCTCTGTTTAGTTTTTTTTTGTTGTTGTTGGGTTAGTAATGGGTATAATTATCAGCAAAAGTATTGACAAATGCATTAGGATAAAATTATCTAAAATTCTAGTTCATTACACATGGCAGTCATTTTATTAAGTAGTTTCGCAGATTCTCGAAAATTGTCAGTCTGTATCGATGTCAGGGTAGGATTAACTTGGGGTAACGTTAGCGATTATTTTTGAGGAAAACCTCTGTCTGTATGTGTTGAATAATAATAACCTCATATATTGGGTTTAGGAAGCAGGACTTTGTAATAGCACTCATTGTCGTCTTAACCTCTTCATATGGAACTATCGAACTTATAAATTTCGACTTGGATTCCTAGAGATAATCGTCAACCTTCACTGTAATAAGGGTTGTGCATTTATAGCCATGCTTGTTAGATTCTACCTGTGGTAATTAATCACTGATCATAGTGGTCAAGTCATCGAAAAGAAAATTCTTGAACAAGGGATTTCTGTAAAGCTTCGTGAATAAATACAATGAGATGCTTTATGGTTCAAAATAGCCTCGTATAAATAACGTAATCTATTGGGTTTATGGAACGAATGAAAATCAGAATACAAGGTTAACTCATAGCAGTAGGTGATTGAAGATTTAGTCGGTATCTAAAATCCATGTAAGCCCCACTGACCACCTAGACGAATCTTCCCTGAGTTTGGACGCCCATAGTGTGCATTCAAGTCCCCAGCCAGCACTACAATATCTCGCCGATCTGCTTGTTCCAAGAGATCACCCAGTTGGTAGTAGTACTCATCCATAATTGCATCTAGGCTGCAATCCATCGGTGCATAGACAGAGACAACAAATAGACACTGCCTCTCTGGCCTACCACTCTTAACTTTTGTATAACCTTCCAGCCTCACAGCACATAAACGACTGTTAATGGGGATCCAGTCGAGCAATGCAGCTCCCGCTCAAGCGCTTAGTGCGACACCAGCTGCAGCGAACGCCGACGCCACAGGATCCCGGGACAGGCGCTGGTGGTACATACTATTCGAACTTTCAGATGGAGAGAATAATCCAAGCACCCAGCACTTCGCTGGGATTTTGAATGCTTGTCTCCGAAATGCAGCAAGTATCGATAGTGAGGATTTCCAATGTTCTTACCAACCCTGTCTGTTGTCCGATTTGCATCAGTGTCCGAACAGTGTAGATGGCCAGCTTGAAAGCAGCATGCGGTTTCAGGATATGTGTTAGGTGTCTCACTAGGGACAACCATTTTGAAGCCTGCTCACTAACATCTCGAAACAGCACAGATAGACTGGGAATTCAGACAAAGGCGAATGCCTGACGAAAATGAAGACGACAAGGATAGCACAGGAGTCTATGTTTAAAAATAAATTTAAGGTTGGAGGGAGATGTATCACTTGAGCATTGTTAAGAGCGCGCAGTAAGTTCCACTGACAGTTTGTTGTTTCGTTTCATTGAATTTGTGAGGGCTGAGACACTGCCTGGTCACCCAGATCGAATCAGGTGGTTGTCTTAAGGGACCGCTCTCGGACCTTTGATTCTAATCTGGAAGGCACCGTCAGGAGCTACATTCCCGTGGATGCCGGTGACCAGTACAGGTTCATACGTCATTTGATCCGACGGTATTCTGAAGCTCATGTATCCTATGGTAACTTCTTTTAGTCTAACCGCCATCCAAATAACATTTCTGACGTGGTAGGACCAGCAGGAATATGAATCCCAGTCAGTGTAGCTTGTTGCGTCACTGAGGTATTTAAGCCCGACCACCAGGACAAGGTAGCAGTTGTTGCCCGTCATCGTATGGACGGATGACTGTAAAATGTCATCTTTTTCTCACTTTGGTCTTCGTAAGATCGCCAATCAATCAGGATACTTATTTTTCATCTACCTTAGTCGAATCGCCTGTCAATTAGAACAAACTATTTTCACATCACTGAGCCGATTTTATTGAGGTGAAGAATATATAAATATGACGTTTTTTCCAATAAAATCGTATCCCTTCAGTTCAGCCATTGTCTTTTGATATCTACCCGGCTCATTGAAGCAAGTGCGACGGAAGAATAGGTTATAGTGGTGAATAATTCCCTAAAATTATTGACCACAGCACTCATCACTGAACATTGTATGCTGAACCTCACGGTTTAAGTCGACTTGTTTAGCTGAAGGCTTCCGGTCGAGCATCCATGCCATTTGGCCTCCCCTCGTGTCTCGTTCTTGTACGATCACTAGCTAGCTAGGCATTCATCTCGGTTTATGATTTGGTCCCGAAATATATCTCGTAGTTTGGATGATCAACTCTGGTCTTTTGCTTTGCCTTTGGTCTACGAGGAACGAATACTATAGAAGTTGTTGGTATTAGATCTTGCGTTAGTATACTCCGTACAATCCGCGAACGTCGACACCGTCAGCCTCTAAAAGTTGTATCTAGCATATTAGTTGAGTTGCTCAGTGCGTCAGTATTAATATTCCTACGCACAAGTACACTCGATCAAATCACCTGTCGATGCAATCATATCAGTTGGCGGCAGGTTCATAACAAATTGGCGACCTCGATCATAACAACGGATAGTTACCATATGAAGTGATGACACCCAGTAGTGTACGTCAGTGATATCCCACTATCGACCAAAGGGCTGGTGTACTGCTCATCAGTCCTCTCCGTCCTCCTTTATGGCTGTGAGACCTGGCCATTGAGAGTGGAAGACATGAAAAACCTGGTTAGCTATCTTTGATCATAGGTGCCTGCGTTCTATTTCCCATGTGAAGTGGTATAATAAGGTGAGCAATAATGAAGTTAGGAGTCGAGTGCTAGTTAAGGAGGGGAAATCAATCGACGAGGTTGTGATGTTACATAGACTGAGATGGTTAGGACATGTGTTACGTAATCCTAGTCATCGCCTTCCTCGACGGGCAATTTTATCTGACTAACATAGGGTCAGGTTGGAAAAGAGATAGCAGCTGTCAAACCCAGACGTGGCGCCAGTCAATGAAATCGACAACAGTTAGTCTAAGCCACTTAGGAGGGTGTAAACTTCCTGGTTGGCGTCCTCGGGACGGTAAGTACCAATGGTTGGAAACAATTGGTGACATGGCTCAAAATCGTTCTCAATGGCGCAGATGCATCCACTCCTTGTAACCTATGATTTCCAATGAAACTGTTTTGTTCTTCGTTATTACTCTTCCTTTGTCTCACACCTCTGTTTACTGTCTCTATTATGCTTTTCTTGTACTTTCTTCCCTTGCTTCGCGTGCTACACGGAGTGTGGCGACTTGAACTTCCGCACATTTGTGCAAAGTTCTATGTCGAAAACAGACAGACGTCAGTGATGCCAACTGTCCCCATTTCTGATTGATTTCATCATAGACTTACTAATGGAATCAACCTTAACTGCTAACTTCAGCGACTCAGGGATTTACATGTTAC